GGAGATTAGAAAGAAGAATGACAAACACATTAAAAGATGTTGAATACCATTAGTCACTAGGGAAATGCAAATTACTCGTTACCCCTAGACACCTACCAGAATGACGACATGAAAAAAACAAACAAGCAAACCCTACCATACAAAATGCTCACATGGTTAAAGAGCAACAAGAACTCTCATCTATAGCTGGTGGGAACATAAAATGGCATATCCGCTCTGGAAAATAGTTTGGCGGGTTTTTGTAAAGTAAAACATATACTTTACCATACAACCTAGAAATCCCAAAGTACTTCCCAAGTTTAGAATATGCCTATCCAGAGACTTGTCCATGACAGTTTATTGCATCTTTATTCATAATGGCCAAACGACTGGAAACCCAGTTGGTGAATGGATAAACAAACTGTAGAACATTCAGTATGAAGAACAGCACTTGATAATAAAAAGTAATGAGCTACTGTTAATGCAAAAACACAGACGAATCTCAAAAACATTATACTAAGTGAAAGGTCGGCTCAAAGCCTATATTTTGTATATTCCTTTAAATAACATTATAGAAAAGGTAAAACTATGGGGACAAATCAGTGGTTGCCAGGGACTAGGTATGGGGAAATTAGTACAGGATAACTTTTTTGGGGTGCTGGAAAGGTTTTTGTATCTTAAATATGTTGGTGGTTGAATAACTGTATAATATGTCAAAGCTTATTACAATGTATACCTAAAAAGGATGAATTTACCTTATATAAACATGATCTAAATTTTTAATGGGAAAAAATATCAAAAACCAGCCAGGGAGGGAATTTTTTTTTTCTTTTTTGGCTATTTCACCTTAAAGACATTGGAAATGCAACGTTTCTCTTGCATTATGGTGTCTTTACAAGTTGTGTTCTTTCCTTATGAGTAGAAAAAGCCTATCATGCCACCTAAAAACATATTTCCTATCAAAAGATAAAGGAACAAAATAAAGTGTCTTATATTTTCCTATTACATACCACACCTCTGAATATCTCTTCACAAAGTATCATCTTTCCTAAGCAGCCATAAGTTACAAATACCAGTTTTTTATTTATATATAAGCATAGTGTTTTAATTTTAAGAGGAGACTTAACCTCTGTATTATTCAAGTCAATAAAATAAATATTTAAATCCCCAAAATCATATTAAGGCCTTTCTATATTTTAATTTCTAGATGAGACTTAGGTATTTATGTTTCAGGTGATTCTTATTAGTTAAAAAGCAAAAGATAGTAAAAAGACTCTAGTAATAGAGATACTGATAAGGCATATAAATGTTTCCAAATATACTAACAGATCAGGTAATAACGGAAAGACAAAAAGTTTAATAATGCTGGCCACTTATGGCACATAGCATTTCTGGGAAAGAACCAAAATAATGAAAAAAATGCAACTGATATGTGAGGCATTGGCTTAGCTCCTGGGGTTACAGCAGTGGATAAGATGAAGTCCTTCCCCTAATGGAACTTACATGTTAATGGGGAGGCAGTCAATGACAAATGAAAAAAACAAAGTCAAGTAATGGTAAGTGCTAGAAGGAAAAGAAAAGGGATTTAAAAATGATTGATAGGGGCAGGGTACCAGTTTAGAGACTTGACGTGACATGTGAGCAGAGACTTTAATTATTTAAGCGAGGGAGTAAGCTTTGTACAAATTAGGGATAAAGGCATTCTTGACAGAGGGACCAGCAATGCAAAGTCCCAGAAGTATTCTTTGGGGTATTCTAAACAATGGAGTAGCATGAGTGAGAGAGAAAGACTAGAAATAGCTAGGGGTAAAGTGCCACATATTATAAGGTTGTGAATGCCAAGTCCATTCATTTATCAAAAATTATGGAACATTGGCAGTTGTGTTTTTTCTTAATTTATTGGTGGAGAAGGGCTGAGTCTGGTTTTCCATATTTTAAGATTAGATGCCTATTTGATATCGAAGTGGAGATGAGTTCAGGGGAGTAGCTGAAGCTGAAGATACTCAGCACAAAAATGGAAAGAAAAGGAAAAACAGTAAAACTGGTGAGACAGGACAGAAATCAAAAACGTTATGAGAGTAATACCACAGGTTTCCAGAAAGTAGAAAGAACTGGTCAAGGCAAGACCTGATCTAAAAAATATAAAGAGTGCTCCATGCATTATGTGCCCTCCTTAATACCCATCCCTGGGTTAACCCGGAGCATGGGGTGTTATACGAAAACAATGAATCGTAGATCACTACCTCAAAAACTAATGATGTATTTTATGGTGACTAACAAAATAAAATTAAAAAAATTTAAAAAATAAACAAAACCACACCTAAACTCAGCATAGTGAAACTGAAGAACACCAGAGACAAAGCAAAGTTCTGAAAGGTAAAAAGAGGAAAAAACAGTGAGTGCCAGGTCAGTTCCACAGCTCATTGACAGATTGGAAACCAGCAGTAGTCTACAATAGTAAAACTACAAGGTAATCCACATTCCTGCCAGATAATGTAGATCAGTGCAGTCAGTATCTTAGCTCATTTAAGAGAAACATGATGAGCTCAGGTTTTGTTTGGGGACTATTTATACCATTTCAATTTAATATTTAGATCAAGACTCAAATGTAGACTGGGACAGAATTAAAAGCATCTTACTCATTTGGGAGTTTGAACTACCAATCTTGTTTCAAATAAAGATTGGTTAAGTTTGTTTTAAATAAAGAACAAGGTGACTAATGGCCTTTTAGGATAGAAAATATGGCACATGAAGCCCCATTGAAGAATTTGTATAGATATTTGGAAAAAATCTGGAAAAGTATTTTTTAATCCTACTTTACCAAATAATCTTATTTTTCATTCTTTAATGTAGTTAATATTTCTTACCCTTAGGTCTTCTTTATAAAGAATCCAAACATTTCCTGTAATAAAATCAATCTATTAGGTTGAAAAAAATTAGCATAAAGCATCTATAAAGTCAATTACTGCAGTCATTGTCAGGAGAAAATATAGTATCAATTGTTTTGTTTTAAATGTCTGAATTTAGAAGACTTAAAAATTTCAACACAGAAGTGTTTTTGACATTATTTTGTCTCAGGATATTTTTGTTGTACTATTGCCTAGTTATCTGCCCTTAAACGTGTTCATCACAAATCTTGCATGAAGTACTACAATATATGTAATAGATCTGTATTTTTAAATTGAGTCTTGAATTTAAGTAATGGGTTTGATAGTTGGTTTATATTAACATGCTTAAATATCAATTTAGAAACACCTTAAAGTATTTTTTGCATTATTTGCTAAGTAACAAACTACTTAAAATTTTAACAATGAAGCCACATTTGAGTTCACATTACAATTTCAAATGAAGCTGGGTAAATCCAAAAGAATCCCGTATTTAAAAATTAGCTGTTTTTCTACCACCTACCCCCACCCCAAATCACTACACTCCTTGCAAAAAAAAAAAAAAAAAAATCACAACTATAAAACTCCATTATTAGTTAGTCAGAAACAGAGTAACGAACAGGAATTATGCCAACTACCCCAGTGGGTATTCTTTAAATCTCATGGAAATGAAATCAGTGTCAATCAGTGTATCTATACAACCTTTTCATTATTTAACTACAAAAATGGATTATAGAAATTATCACATATGTAATCTACTATGTTTTGTGCTATAAAGGTTTAAGCCACTCACTCTGAAATTAATGAACAAATCATTCACACTCCGTTTTCCACAGCTTTCCAGTCTAAAATTATTTTCTAACATATCCTGAACAAAGAATATTTTCTTTATAAGCAAACAGGCCATTGCTTTTAATAAGAATCATTTATTGTATATTATTAAAGTGGAGGGTTAAGTGGTACAGTACTATGCATAATCTCTCACCCTTGAAAATTTAAACACAAATGGTTAAAAAGAGCAAAGCAGAATGAGCATGTAAAAGACAAAATTTAAGCATATTTTATAGAGAATGTTCCTTGTGGTATCTATGCACTAATGTTCTTCTCCATTGTGTTTTAATAAATTTATGGCTTATTCCTCTTCTACAGGATTGCGGACTTCTTACAAATAATGAACATATTTTCCATCAATTAATGTTACATACAATTTTAGATTTTTCATTCAACTCAACTAATTAGGTGACTAAAATATTCAACTAAATGTGGCATTGTTAAGAAATCAGAGCCCATTCCATTGCCTCAAAATATGTAATAATGTTCTTCTATGAAATCTGTACAATAGGATATAATGCAAATATCCCAGCTACAAAATGAATTAAAAATGCCAACCCTGATCTGTTTACTGTGTTAATATTATAATTTCATTAAGTATTATATTTTTTTGTTAAATGCTATCTTGTGGAATAATCATTTATACTAAATGTGGAAAAAAGTGGAAAAGCTTAAAAAATGTGTACCGGCACTAAACTGTTTAATCACTTTTATATTTAATTATAAATTAATGTTTAGAAAATGAGTTATTCTTCCTATGTTATCTGATATGCCAGGAAAAAAGAGATTATTATTTTCCAGGGTAACTAAAAGAGGTATCACTACTCAAAAAAAAAAAAAAGGTGGGGAGGAAAGCTTTGTTTTGTACACATAAAATTTTAGACCTAAATGGATAAAAGGAAAATGTTTAAAAAATACATCCATCTATGGACAAATTTCTGTAGATTGCTCCTACAGTTAATCAACAGGGACACATTTAAGAATATTATAGGCATATACCAATATACTTATATTTGTCAAAGTTAAGATTCAAATTTGCTACAGCACAGCACACATCCAAGAATGTATGCTACATGATTCAAAAATTCCCACTGAATATAACAAAATAAAAATCTGTGAATAAATATAAGGCTTTCTAAAATAAAATCTGCAGGAAACCAACAAGAGTCCAACAAAGATTTCTACGATCTAAATTTTACTTCACAGATTCATATAATCTTCAAAATAGATTTAGTTGTAGTGCCACACAGTAACAATAGTTAACTGCTTACCAAAATACCTTTTTCCTGGTAGCTAAACGTTACTACTTAAAAAAAAAAAAGTTAAGTGCTTGAGGGAATAAGAATGCAGCAGAAAATTACAGGAGCCCACATATCCTTTTTCTTAAATTTAATTTGTCATATATAAGGTTTTTATATACAATCAGTGTGCATTGTAACAGTTTATATTAAAAGTCAATCAAGTTTATCTAAAATGTTACCTGGCTGCATAGCACATTTGACATTATTGCCCACATGAAAAGGGAAAACAAATGGATTTACAATAACTTTTGGCCATTTTGGATTCTGAAAAGTGTTCATACACCTACCCTTTTAAACCAAATGCATCTGAAAAAAATGTTTCCAGAGCATGCAGTTTAGATTTTACATATTATCTCACCATTTTGTTACTACAAACACAATATTTACTAAAAAAGAAAAAAAAGAAATAACATGTATCTAATAAAATAGTCAATATAAAAAGAGGACTAATGGAATTAAGTGGCCCCTTTCCCCATTTTTTACATTCTAAACAATGATTCCATCAAGACAAATCATTAAAAAGTGTTATTACACTGATATTTTTAAATGATAAGAAGGCCTGAGTTGGTAGGGAAAGGAACAGTCAAAAAAAGCCTGAGAAGGGAAAGGAAGTAAGGAAAGCTCATTTAATCCATTTACAATAATTTACAGCCATTTGTGTGTATGTGTGTGTGTGTGTGTGTAAAAAGGCATAATAATAGCTCACAAACAGGAAATTCCTGGCTATTTTACAGATATAAGTACAGAATTTAAATATTCAAGCTTGTGATGAAAAGCGGCAAGGTGGTCGCAGTGTACAATGTAAACAAGTAGCTTTGGAAAGTGAACAAAGTCCTTGAGTGTTTTTTCTTTATTAAGAAAAGAACTCTCTTTCATTCCTTCCTGAAACATGATCACAGGTCAGAGTAAAGTTCATATACAAACATAATTTAAATGGAGGTCAGTCTAAAATCACTGACTTAAAAACAGTTTTATCCAGCCTATATGGAAGGGCAGTGTTGAGGTCCCTGTAATAGTAAACATTTTCCATTTCTTTAAAAAAGAAAAAAAAAAAAGTACTACAGTATTTGTAGTACAGTGCAGCATAATCCTTAAATATAAAAATATTTTCTCTTCTGTTGGGATAATAGACCTTGCATCCTGGAAAGAAGTAACAATACTGCTACTGATAGAAGATCTGTTTATATCTTTCAAGTCATGTAAGGCAATTACTGTGTTGGTTTATGATATATGGCTAAAAGAAAAGTCCAGAAAGACAAAATATCAGTTTTTGTTATGTTTTCCGACTACTCCAGGTATGCTCAGGTGTACTTTTGTGTTCAATTGAGTGTTCAAATGGAGATCTGGAGCCATAAGGAGATCTCTGATCTAGTGGTGATCTGGGGCCACTACTGGAAGCTCTGTGGTCCATTTGCCAATCTGAGTGATACCTATAATCCCTGGAAGATTTATGGTGTGTATATTCAGAACTTGCCCGATGGTCTGAATGTAACCGATGATCTGAATGAGAACGATGATCAGAATGAGATCTATCCTTTAAACTTCCTTCCAAATTTGACCTGTGATCTCTACTCCTGTGATCATCCAGTTTTCTGTGTTTCTCTCTATCACTGTAATACCTAATAAAAGACAAATTAGGAATTAAATTAATAATGCAAATTAAATGTTTCCAAATAAAATAATTATTAAAAAATAAAACACAAAAATACTTTAAAGCATCCTTTTAATTGTATATAAGCTCTGTGTTTCACTACAAAAACTTCCTAAGTGAGCTTTAGTTATTGGACCTATCTCTGCATGCCTCTCTGGAAAAATCATTCAATTCACAAAACTAAAGTGAACCATACAGAATACCTCAGGCAGCATCTAATTTTACATGCCTGTTTTATTTTTTAATTATTTTTCTATTTAATACAATTCTATTTTTAGTTAAAGCATAATTGATGTACAATATCACATTAGTTTCAGGTGTACAACACAGAGATTTGAAATTAAGCACATTAATGCCCACCATGGTTAAGTGTAGTTACCAACGGTCGCCAAAGTTATTACAATATTGACTATTCCTAAGCTGTACTTTATATCCCCACAAGTTGCTTTATACCTGGAAGTCTGCACCTCTTAATCCCCTTTACCTATTTCACTTATCCCCCCATTCCCCTCCCTCCTGACAACCATCAGTTTGTTCTATTTCTGAGTCTTGTTTGTTCATTGTTTTTGTTAAGATTCCAGACACAAGTGAAATCATACGGTATTTGTCTTTCTCTGTGTTATTTCACTTAGCTCACATGCCCATTTTTCAATAAGGTTGCTACATTTTATTCTATGCAAAAACTGTACTAATGCATCTTAGTTATCTGGAAGTGAGGATTAAGATAACGATCTAGAATACCCTTGAAATCAGAGCCTTTTATGAACCTCTAAGGCAGAAAAAAAATAAAAACCTCTAAAATGCAGTCTGTGAACTAATTTGCGGGAAGGGAATTTTCTTTAGTTGGGGAAAGGTCGTTGTTATAAACAACATAAATTATGTTCTATAAGCCTGTGAAATTATAAAAATTTACTACTACAAATAGAGCTTTTCATTTCGTGTGCCCTTTTCTAACTGGAAGAGCCATTCTATAATTGATGTATTTAATGACTGTGCTTCTATTACAGAAGGAATTATTGTAGTGAGCACAACTAAAATGCAAAGAAAATCTACTAATTTCTTTATTTCTGATCTTTTACTTATTCTTCTGTTTTTTCTTTTGCTTTTCATAATTATCATTAACTCATGAAAATATTCCTTTACCAAATGTATTTTGTTGTTATTATTTAGGTTGTTTACTACTTAAAGGCTTCAAATAACAATAAACAGAGAAACCTTCCTGATTTCAAGACTTCCCAGACTGCTGTGATTAAGTTTAAACTCAGTAAAGCGTTTTCACGTGAGTTAATTCTTCCCCTATTTTTTTTTAGTGGAATGGAACACAGAACTCCCCCCCCAAATTTCAGTCATATTCCATGGAGCTTTTATTTTACTCTATTATTATATTTTGAAGAATATTTGAGCCAATATTCTAACACCAACAAAAATGAATCTTATGACTTATTAATTATAGAACTCCCTACACTTTCATCTCTTACTGCACATGTTGATCTTAAATTTAGAATTAAAAAAAATTTATAGGAATTCAGTTCTCAATATTAACAAAAAGTGCTATGTATCAGTTTTTCTATTTGTAAACAAACACCTTTATTTCACTTAAGATTTGTTATGATTACCTGAATACTGAATTGACTAATAAAGTATGTAAATTAAAAAAAAGACATGAATAAGCAAAATTTCAAAACTAATCATCCAATTTACCTGCTTTCCTGCTTGTAATGATCCCAGTCACGATGATCTTTACCATTGCTAAAAGAAGAATAGGGTCTTTTCCTAGAGTCACTCTTTTTGTAAGAATCTCCCTGATGTCGGTCTTTATGATGATCATGATACTGAGATAAGTGTCTGTCAGATGAATAACTGTCCCTGCTGCTATCATCGTGATTTGTATTCTCTTTTAATCTTTCCACATCTGTTAGAGAAAAGAATACAGCTTTTGTTAATGACGTAAAACAAAAACATGGTAACCAAATTAACTTTGCTGCTAGGTTATAAGAACTCCTATTTCAACTCCAGAAAAACAAAATCAGTTGCCCAACAGACAGTTAAAGACTTTAGAAATGGTCTATAAAGGCAGTATAGTAAGGCCTACAAAAGGGTTACTGTATTCTTAAATGTGAAAAAATATAACTGAAAAATTTAAGGCCCATTTTCTTCTCAGACTATACTTTTGTGACTCTTGCACCAACAGAATACATTATTATTCGAAATAATATTTTTAAAAAATACATTCACTTTAACAATTATTCTACAAATTCTAGAAACTGACAAAAGGTTGATTTATGGAAAGGTTAATTAGCTGAAATGAATTACTGTTTAAGGTAACAGATTCGATATAGAAATGTGGGTATGTATTATGCAAAAAAAACCTGAAAGAGGAAAACAATTTTTAAATTTACTCTCTAAAACAATTAGTAACACTTACCTGGATTTCTAATCACTTGAGCATTCAAGTTGCTGTTCTGGTCATTATTTTGCTAAAATAAATGCACATAGGTAAGAATCTTTTAAGTGGCTTCAAATACCCTTACAAAATAGGAAAAAGAAAAAAAAAAAACCCTAAAAAGAAAATTCTGATGCTGAAAGAAGTCCTCATATATTAGAATGTATACATGTATCACTTCCAGATACCTTTTTTTAAAGCACAGACTATTTGTCCCATGACTTTCTTAAAAATTTGACTTTGAAAGACTTTTAGACTTACAGAAAAGCTGCAAAAATAGTACCTAGAGTTCCCATATGCCTTTTACTCAGCTTCTCCTAATGTTAATATCTTACACAACACCACAGCATAATCAAAACTGAATAATGAACACTGGTACAATACTACGAACTGAACTAGAAACTTTATTCAAATTTTGCATTTTCCCACTAAAATCTTTTTTCTGCTCCAGGATCCAATCTGGTATTCCATATTAACACTGAGTTTTCATGTTTTCTTAGTTTCCTCCAATCTAGGAAAGATTTTTAGTTTTTTTCTTGTCTTCGATGACCTGGACACTTTCGTAGAGTACTAAACAGTTATTCTGTAGAATATCTTTCAATTGGGGTTTGTCTGATATTTTTCTCATGACCAAACTAAGGGTATGCACATTTTTGCCAAGAATTCCATAAAAGTGATGTACCTTTCTTAGTGCATGTAATGAGGGTTTATGATGTTAACTTTGATCAAATGTTTAAGGTGGTTATTAAACAACTTGGAGGAGATACTCTTAGTCTATGCCATTATCTTGTTTTCATGCCCACTAATTTTAGCTTCCTTCAGAAGATCCTACCTGTAACAACTTTTATTGTGCTCTAACAGTGATTTTCTATTTCCTTCATTCCTTCTATTAATTGAATTCTTCTATAAGAAAGTATGTCTCAGTTTTAGTAACATAAAGGGAAAAATATGATGCATTAATTTACCTGAGATTCCTGCCGTTTTTTAATAGCATGTTTATATAATTTATGTAATTTTCTTGCATCAAACTCCGTAAACTTAGATACAAAAATCCACAGGTTTCTAGAAGAAGAACAGGTAAATTAGTCTGGCGGAAAATATTTAGATTTTTCACGGAACCCCCTAACCTCTAGATAGAAACACACATACTTAGCCTTCTATGGAACTAAGTCTAAGGACATTATTTCTAGTATTTTTAAAAGCTTTATATGGCTAAGACTCCAATTTTTTTTTTATTTTTAAAGTAATCTCTACACCCAACACTGAACTCACAACCCTAAGATCAAGAGTCGTATGCTCCAATGATGGAGCCAGCCAGGTTCCCCCATATGGATAAGACTCCAAAATGAAACTAAACATTAAGTTTTACTTCTCTTCCAAATCCCCTATTTTATAATCTTTTAGAGTGAAAATAGTAATCCATCCTAATTTGAAACCAAAAAAAAAAATGTAAACTTACAAATCAGGAAGGGACTCATATTATGACTTATATTAGTATAAAAGAAACAAGCTATGTTAGTAGTCCGACTAAAGATACAATCAGATAATGTGGATTAAGCTTGTTTAAGAAGGGTCCTAAAGAATGTGTTAAAGAGCAACTGTATGGGAGCCATGAACAGAGAAACTTTAACTTTGGATCTTGAATATAAAAAGAGAATGTGGCTATATTTCCATTTAAGCCTAATATATATATATATATATATAATATATATATATAAAAAATTGAACTTTACTGTATCCCTGTTCTATGGTTCTGTGGTTTGAGGGACATCATGAGTTGAAAGAGCTTGAGATGTACAGAATTGTTTTACAGTATCTAAAGAAAGCATTAAAACTCCAGTATATGTATTTCAGCTATAAATAAAAGATTAAGCCAGACAATATAGTACTTTAGGATTATTTCCTCTCCTTCCTATCATCTTTTTTTTTAAGATTCATTTATTTATTTCAGACAGAGAGAGAGTGAGCAGGGGGAGGGGCAGAGGGAGAGGGCTTGATCCCAGGACCCTGAGATCACAACCTGAGCCAAAATCCAGTCAGATGCTTAACTGACTGAGCCACCAGGTGCCCCTCCTACTATACCTTATCATTACCATTCAACTGAAAAATATACAGTCCCTTATATATAGTTTATAAAGGATATCAAGTACAGATGATGTTATTTTGCGGATGATTACTAGTGGGCTCAGAGATATTCTGTAACTGTTCAAGGTCACAAAGCCAATAATTAGCCAAGATGGGGACCAAGCATGTCTTCTGATGCCAACTCCAGGAATCATTCCATGGCATTATAAGCACATTAACTTCAGGCTATTATTATTGTCCATGCATGGCTTCAGTGTCTTCAGACATGATAGCTCAGTTTCATTTGTTTTCAAAAGCCTAGTGATCATAATCAACTTCCTGTCTCCTTCTCTAACATGGGTCATGATTGATTTTAAGGAGAAAGGTGACAAGGATAGAATCTTCAGTGTAATCATCAGTCCTTCAGAAATATGTCATTATTATCATACAGTTTTTTGCTTTGATGTGTAGCTGCACTGCCTAGAGCAAGGAAATCAGCAGGCTAAAACTGATATGACTGGGTCATGGTCATTTTGTAGTATTCCTAACTTGTCTAGTAGCTTGACTTAACACCGATCTGGGTCTGGCAGTTATTAAGTGATTTGTATAATATTATATCAGCTCAGATTTACAATTTTAAGACCAACTGTGTTGCTGCTGCTTCTAAAATAAAGGGGAAAATAAAAATCTGCATTTTACACTGCCTGAGAATATTAATTTTTACAAGGCTGTATACTTATACCTGGAAGATGAATTGCTAAATTTATGTAACAATAAATTTATTTGTTTGGTACTGCAAATTCTGAAGTTATTACTAAGAAAAATTCGGCAAACTAGAAAAATTTCTAAAAATAAAATGCAACCTGAATTTTATTGAAACAGTTTTCACTTCCCCTTTTTTTTTTTTAAGACTGTAATTATTTGAGAGAGAGAAAGAGAGAGAGCACATGTGAGCACAGGCAGAGAGACAAGCAGAGTCCCCACTGAGCATGGAGCCCAATGCAGGGCTCAATCCCAGGATTCCAGGATCATGACCTGAGCTGAAGTCAGATGCTTAACCCCCCAGGCACCCCTTCACTATACTGTATTTAAAGGAAGAGGTGCCACCTGTGGTTTATCATGATGTATAATTAAAGCAATCATTCAGAAATAAAAGCTTTAAAGTTAAAGGAAAAAAATGAAAACGATCACCCTCAGATTACCTCTTTAAACATTATTTTGTTACCTAAACTTCAGAATAAGAAAAATAAATTGAAATATAAGACACAAATAGATGGTTACATAATTACAAATTTAACATTTCCTGAAAAGTACATCACTTACTTTCTCCACTGCTTGATTTGTTCAGGATTTGTATACTCTTTCAGACATTCTGTGATATGGTCTCCAATTTTTATTAAACACTGTCTAGTATGCTCCAGTTGTTCTCTTTCTGAAAGGCCTTTTTCAGGCCTATCAAGTTGTTTCAAAGCTGCTTTGACAGGCCTCATCCTTTCTTTACACTTTAAAATGGGAAAATAAGAACATGTATTAAAACTAAGAATTCAACAAAGATCTACTTCCTTCAAATGATATCGATATGAGTAAATACAGCACTGATGCTAAAAAAGCATTAAAGCTTGCCTCACAGATCTTAAATATCAGGGATTTTCCTCTCAGATTTTCTTCAGAAAGTAAGGTTTTCCATTATCATTTAAATTCAATCTTTCTGTATGTAAAAGCTTTGGGTTTATTTACCTTCTGTAAAAATGGTTATTTTATACCCTATAACACATCATTAAGCAGTCTTAAACACAGAATGTTAAAAAATAATATAACTCAGAACACAACTTAGTATCCTAGATTCACTCTAATACAGAGTAAAATGTAAAAAAAAAAAAAAAATAAGGATCTTCATAAAATAAAATATGCTGGCAAAGCTATTAAAACCAATATAGCTATAAGGATAAACTGTCTATTCTTCTAAACCTTTGGAAAGTAAGAAAAAGAAAGTAGCTAATGAATTTTGCTCTTATATTTTGGTTGGTCAGGGAATTGGGGATGCTTGATAGGAGCCAACCTTTTCCTTGGCCTACATATCACTGGCATGCCAATAAAAGGATGATGTATCAAAAACTATATGATTCAGTTAAAGTCCAACACGTGCAATAAACGCTATAACCTTAAGCCAAAACTAAATTAAGAATATTACTAAAAAAGCAAACTATACGTAAATTTTATGTATCCAAATGCAAAACAAATTTAAAATGAACAATAATTATATCCTCAAGTAGCAAAGCTGGGTTAGTTCCAGGAATGTTAAGGATGATCAACTACAGACAATATATTTAGCTGATCCAACGCCATTTATTTAAAGAAGAAATCCTCGTATCACTGCTGTGGAAGGGCCAGTCATTATTAAGTGTCTATATGTATGGAATCATTTCTGAGTATTTTATTCTGTTTTACTGACCTATTTGTCCAAATCACTTGGAAGTTATCCATCTTCTGTCAGGAATAATTTAAGTAATATTAGAATTACATGCTTTTTAGTTATTAGAACTCAGCCAGGCCTGATGTCTTTTTTTAAAAAAGGGAAATCTTTTCCTTTCTAATTTTTAGCATTACTCCTATCTGTTCTCTACATTTCCTGCTTCTTGCTCGATTTTGGTAGTTTATATTCTGCTAGAAAATGATTCATAAAATGTATATAATTTGAGTGCATACCATGTTCTCAGCATTGTCCCAGACCCAGGAAACAGAGCAGTAAATACAAGAGATTTGCCTTTGCGGAACCTGTACTCTACTAGGAGAAAAGAGCCAATAAAGAAACAAGATGCAGCATGTTGGATGGTGACAACTGTGATAAAGAAAAATAAAGCAAGAAAAAGGAGAAAGATTCCTCCTTCACGTAAGACTTCAGAGAAGAGTGATGTTTGAGCATATATCTAGAGAAAATACGGAAGTAAGCCACTTTTGAGCAGAGGAACAGACAAGTACCTATGTTCTAAAACTTGTATGTTCAAAGGCATAGTATAAATGCCAGCATGGCTGGGACCTACTGAGTGAGGGAAGTGGTAAGAGATGAAGGGAATAATAAACCAGGTGCAGTATCTTTTAGCCTATTATCATGAATCTTTCATCCTGAGTGAGGGAAAGCCACTCAAGGATTTGAAGCAAAAAAATAAGAGGGGGTGACTCGACCCTCTCCGTAACAGTCATTATCACTCTGGTTGCTGTGTAGAGTATGCACGGAGGAACGAAAAGGGTATAAGAACAAGAAGAGTGGGGAGCAGTGAAAAACAGCTATGAAGCTATTGAAATAATCGAGGGCAGAGATGGCTGTAGCTTCAAGTAGTATGGAAGAGGCAATATGATTTGCTCATTGACTGATAGCGATAAAGAAAAAAAGAGTAATTCATGACTAAAATCTATGTTAAGGCCAAGGCCTGAAGTTGGGAATTGGAGCAATGATAACAAATATTTATAAAGCACCTATTAGGTATCAGAAGCTATGTGTTGTGTAAAGGCACCTCATTTGATTCTGGTAGTAGATCTATGCAACACTATTTTATCGAAGAAACTGAAGCTTAGAGTGAAATGACATCTGTCAAACCCAGGTCTGACCTCAAAGGTTGTACTCTTTCTTAACTGTTAAATTATAAATGACATTTAGGAGACAAATCAATAAGACACAAAGAAAATCAAGAGGTGTCAAATTAGGCAAAGATGTGAAGGAAGGAAAATGAAGACCAAGAAAAGGCCATTGAGTTTAACAGTCAGAGCTAGTCCCAAATAAAATTTATATAGCAGTAAAATCCTAATCATGCAAGCTGAGAAAGTCTGGCTCCAGAGTCCATGTTTAAAACTATTGCATTCTTCATTTCCGTAATACAAGCGATTTTAAGATCAATCATGAAAGTTAATGGAGAAGAAACTCGTGCACTGGGTACAACAGCAAGTTTTCCATTTCAGCAGTTATATGAACAAGTCAGAAGGCTAAGGAGGAAATTTAGGCAAAGAAAGGTGGCAAGAGGTACAATTTCACCTCTCAGTAATGAACAGAATAAGGGAAGCAGTTCAAAAGAGTTCAGTCTTCACTTCAGAAAAGCAAAAGCACAACACCGCCTCCTTATTCCCACCCTTTTAAAAAAAAATCAACAGAAAATGGATAGAGAGGCTAGATTAAGAACCAGGTCACAAACAGAAAGGTTAACCTTAAAAGATGCTAAGGAATCAGCATGTGAACCTGAAGAGAGAAAGATGAAAAGTCCAGAGATATGTTCAAGTAAGATGGAAGACAGGAACAAGAGTAGCTTATTCTGACTATCCCAACATTCTTAGGGATTGGAGGGATGTAAACAGCCAAAAGTGAGGAGGAGAGAAAAACTGTGGTAAGGAACTACTACACTTAAAGAGCATGAAAAATATTTGAAGTTATATTAGGGCATGCCACAGAATTAGCAGGAATGTATATAAATGGGTTCATTGATCAACATTCTCTAGTTAGGGTACAAAGTAGAAGAAATGAGACAAGAAGGTAACCTGGGCATCTAGAATGGTGTAAGAGGTAAAACAAAAACATGATTTTAGAAGTGAAAATTTCCATCTTTCAAGTGTAGCATTTAATATTAGCAATAAAACTAACTTAAGACTACACCCAAACAGCAAAAAGATGCAGATTCTAGAGATCCTAAAGAGGAAATATTTTTTTTTTAAAGATTTTATCTTTTTAGAGAGAGAGAGAGAGAGCATGCGTACTTGCGTGTGTAAGAGGGATCATGACCCGAGCCAAACCAAGAGTCAGAAGCTTAACCAACTGAGCCACCCAGGCACCCCAAAGAGGAAATATCTTATACGAATATATATTTACATGTATTTGTGCACACTGTAACTGTATATAAATAAGATACATTTATATCAGACTATAAATTTTCCCTTTAGGTGCTACCAGTAATAACATATCTCTTATTGAAGGATAATTTGTACCTGTCTCATATCATTCAGTCTTTTTTCTCTAGTAACATTACTACTCCTTCCTGATTTTGCTCTGTATCTGGATTTTTTAGTCCTTTATCAATCAATCTGCTGGGATGTCTATATTCAATAACAACATCCACCCCAACCACTACCAATTTTTTGAGCGAAGCACTAGCTGAAACCTTTCCATGTATCAATTCTTCTGCTTTCCTAACAGCAGCACTCTGGCTCCAGAGCCAATACATTCAATTGCTACACATAACTGCTTTCCCACGCTGCAACCCCACTATAAAATTTTCCTCAAAATATTTATCACAATTAATTTCAGTTGAGACTATTTTGGGTTCCTGATTATATCCAGTAAATAACTCATTTGGAAAGAGGCCAAGATAGATCCTCCCTGACTTTGATGAACATAAAAGCATGACAGCATGTAAAACCAGTATTTTTTAGACCAGTGTTACTTAAAGTGGCCTATGAACCTGTACTAGTCCACAAGGCGGAATAGGTACAGAAATTTTAGAAACCTTTGTATCAATTTGACAGTGCAATTTTACGTCTACTGAATCTAGTAACATAATGGGGCTTACATTTTGCATTTTTCCCCTTATTTTCACTTTTCTAATGAAATATTTTCACTATTTGTTTTTATTGTACTTTCTAAGAATACTGGTCTATAAAAGATTGGGGAAAAAAGCTAGTTCTTCACTGTAGATAAGAAGCGATGTTACAAAGATAAAAGGTTCAGGAACAGAGTAGTTTACAATTCTAAAGCTGAAGGGAAAAAAATTTGCTCCAAGTATTCCCTAAATGCCTCTCCTTAAAGTCTTTAATTTATTAAAAAGTTTTTCCAAGTTAATTCTAAATTTGAGATAACTTTCAAAATTTAAATTTATTGCCTTTATCAATCTGAACTGCAGTACTACCCAATTCAAATACACTTCTAAATTAAAAAGCTCCAAAAGATAAAACTGCCAATTAACATAAAATATTGTATGAATTCTTACTAATAACCAGCAAGTCTACTACTTACAATGCTGAATGTCTTCTGATCTAGCTCTTCAGATTCTTCAGATATGGGAACTGGTTCACCACTTGCGGTGATATGAACTGGAGCATCTGACACTGAAGATTTCTTGGATCTTTCCTTGCTATCAGACTTGGATTCGCTCAACTAAAGAAAAAGAGAAAATAAAAACAAAAATCCAACAAAAACAAAGGTGAAATGATTAACACTTCCAGAAAACAATTAATATCTCACTTTATTCTACAATAGTTTGTTCACATTCCATACTCTATTTTATCTTTCTGGGAAACCAAAAATAAATCTACTCTGTAATGTTACCCTATACGTAAAGCATTCAAAAAAAAAAAAAGATTCAAACCTATTTTTCTCCTTTTCTGGATACCCACATGTATTTTTAAAGAACTCAGTTATTCAGGCTAATTTGGGCTGACAGGCAACTTATTTTCCTAAAATGTAAATATGCTGATTGTGTCACTTTCTAAGTTTTACATTATGATTTGCATACCTTTTCTTCCTTTATGTCTTTTTCTTTCTGTATAGCTTCTTTTACTTTGTTTTCTCTTTTCTCTTTAAAATCTTTTTCCTTTATATCTTTCTTATCCTCTTTTTCTTTTATCTCCCTCTTAAGTTCTCTTTTATTCTCTTTTTCTTTTGCTTCCCTCTTTTCTTCTGATTCCTTCTTTATAAAAACATCTGGCTCAGGTCTTTCTTCACTGTCTCTTTCTGTTTTAATTTTTTTATTTGGATGTTTCACAGAAGTGATCTCATCCTGAAAAGTGCAAGTATGGCCAATGTATTACTAACCAAATCTTGACAAAGACTAATTTCTTCTCTTTGCATGACTACGGATTGCATGTATGTGGATTCAGAAAGAAATAACCTAGAATCCCATTAATAATGATACATGCAATGTTCACCTTCCTAATAAAAACTAAAGTAAGCCGGTCCCATTCAAAATTCAAAATAAAATTAATGGAAACAGAACCTCATTTAAATGGCAAATGTCTGAAAAGGAAGGAAGGACCTTTGCTCTATATCCCTCTTAGTGATATTCTATTAGATGAGTAGAATTCTGTTCCATACATGAGACTATGTAATGAACTACAAAAAAGGAACTTCAAAATACCTAAAAGTAAAATTTCAAGTCTTAGTTCAAATTTTAAATGTCAAGTATACTAAAACACGCTATGTCCCTTTCTAATATAAGTCTGTTTTTCTAAAACACATTCTTACCTTATCATCATCTTCATCGGACTTCTCTGAAGGCAGGGGTGAAGAATCACTCTTTATTTCTTCTTTCACTTTTATAGACTTCATTGCTTTATTCTTCTTAGCTCTTGCTTTCCTCCTCTTTGACCCTCCCTAAAAATAATTATTTTTATTCTAACCAACTCCACAGATTCAGTCGAAAAAAAATTTCTTAAATACTTAATCTAAAAAGCTAAAAGAACACATATCCTACCCAATCCTTAGTCTAATGGTAGTAAGCTACACCAATCTTGGAAAGTCAACAAAAGTGATATAACTTAATGAATCAAGTACATATTATGAATAACAGATACTAACTATAACTAATCATTCCTTTCAAAAAGGATTAGAGAAAAGTGGAAGTTGAAAGAAACAGAAGGAAGGTTTTTCACCTTCCTAAATTACTATTATCTTAAACTAAATTTGATCCTACCAGAGATAGCATTAGAAATATTTTTATTGGTACATAGGTAGTTACTGACATTATGGTTATAATGCAAATGGTTAAAGGCTGTTAGTTTCTAATCACCTCTTCTTCAGTGTATTTTTCCTACTTTTTTGGCCCCTCCGCAATAAATAAGCTCAGGGATCTTTATGCTGTACCTTCAGCTCTCCAGTAACACCAAATGAAACAGTAACAGAGGCTTGACCCCTTAAAAAGTATACCACTCTAAACAAGTTGCCCCCAGTACCTATCCAAACACTAGAGAAAAACAAAACAAAACAGGATCCCACTTCCGAAAGATAGGACTTAACCAGTTTTAACAGGAATGCAGAGATAACTTAAGGCAAAATATCACAATATGCAATTAAAGTTACCAAATTACAGAAAAATACACTTATAAGGTCGTATTAGCCTCAAATGTGTAGGGCTATCAGTAAACTAAATTTATCTTACTGAAAAGTAAATTGCTCTTTAAACATCTAAATTTTAACTTACTGCACCAGAAAGTCTCTGAGCTTCTCTTTTTGCAAGATCTCTACTAAGTAATTTGATGAGGTAGTCTGCACGTGTCTGCAACTGCTTTGCTTGTGGTTTTTTATCAGGATCATCAGGAAGAATCTGAAAAGAAATTAATTTTTTCAGGTTGTCTTTAATAAATGATATGAGAAATTTATTGCCTATAAAAGGCTTACTCATTTAAAGAAATACATATAATTTACTTGCAAGTTACAATTGTTAAAATTTGTAGGAATAAACAACTAAGAATGCAAAATACATTTTTTTATACTACACCACCGCCAAGATTTCATTTGCCTGGGAATGAGTTCTAAATAAATACATGAAAAAAAATCCTTCCATTCAAAATAATAATACAAAGTATGAGGTTAAAAATTTCTTCCAAATATACAAGTGTATTTAGCATCCAGTGTTATTAAACATTATAGTATTTTTAGATTTCTTTCCTCTCTCAATAACAGTCTATATAAAGTATACAAAAATTCCTCAAGTACAATGTATCAGCTATTTAGGTGACCCAAAGCACGCACTCTGAAGAAATTTTTACAGTAGGAATTTCAGCTATTCAAATTTGGCTTCAGAGGTAGCAAATGACAAAACACCAATATCAAAAATGACTGTGAAGGGTGCCTGGGTGGCTCAGTTGGTTAAGCGACTGCCTTCGGCTCAGGTCATGATCCTGGAGTCCTGGGGTAGAGTCCCACATCGGGCTCCCTGCTCAGCAGGGAGTCTGCTTCTCCCTCTGACCCTCTTCCCTCTCGTGCTCTCTATCTCTCAAATAAATAAATAAAATCTTTAAAAAAAAAAAAGTGACTGTGAAGAAGTAAAATATAAAAAGATAACTTAAATGATAATAAGGCAATGCTTCCAGTGTTTTCCAGTCTAGGCAAAGAAATGATTTTAGCTGTGGTAGTATCAAACCACAAAACCCCTAAACATTGTTTGATAATAAATGATATTCATTGTCTTGAATATGACAGAATGAGAATTTTACTTTAAGCCTAGTAATATAAAGAAAAATACATCTATGCCTTAATAAAAATATAATTTCAGAGGTAAAGCAAAATTTCAGAGATCATTTAAATTCAACCCCTTCATGAAAACCAAGAAGCCAAGGTCATACAGCTAGTTAGAGCCTTGGTTTCCTATCAATCAAGTTTATTTCTAACATAATTTAAAAAGCAAAAATCTAATTCAACATCAGTAGTCAACGGAAACAAGAAATATTTAAGTACCTTGTGTGTTAAACTGAGGTCAGGATCCATCTTAATCATTTCCCAACTTCCATATCCGTATTCGTAGATACCAATTAACAAATTGGAATCATCTTCTTTGCCCCAGTCTATATCAAAATGAGCTGCCTTTGTGTGGCATGGGATAGTATACCTATATCAAAGTTAATAACCATGGTCAAGTTTTTAACTGCCATATTAAAAATTAATTTTGAAGAATATATTTAAGTTATTGGAACTTCAAAATACTATGCCTTTTTATTTTTAAAACCATTCCATTCAAACTAACCAATGACATAAAAGACATTTTTGTAACATACATACCAAAATTATTGAATAACAACAAATAATTTACAATGGATAAAGTAAGCAACTCACTGTTTTCTTTCTTCTGGATCTGAAGGAATGGATTTGTGCAATGGTATTAATTCTTCTTCATGGGAGATGACAAGCTTGGCATTCACCTGTACACCTGATATTCGGAATGTTGGACCCTTCACTTTTCCAAGTCTACCACCTTAATTTTTTTCAAGACATAAAAAAATATGAAATATACAATTCTACAAAATACAAAGATATGCTATTACTTATATTAATAAGCATCACTTATTTAGCTATATTTATAAGTATTACTTGTTTCTATTATTGGGGGGTGGCATTTGCTGGCAAACGTTAAATTTCACTACAAGATTTTTCAGTACATACTACAGAGATTATAATATAGCCGATGTGGATTCAAAGAAAGCATTTCATAGAAAGCATTTCCATAATTGTTTTATCAATTGCACAAGATACATCTATTAATACTGTCACCTTCTAAATAAGTGGCCTAGCGTAATTTTTTTCAGTATACCTTATTACTAAATCTTAACTAAATATTTTCATTTAGGTAAATTACAAAATAAGCATAATGAAGTAACTATGCCCAAAGCCAATATCACATATGTACACTATCTTTTCCCAGCCATCTATACTAAAAGTACAGTAACTTCTGATATTACCAACTAGCTCGAATATACCAGTTAGACATACTCTACTGCTTTCAAGAATACAATTCTGTTACCCATTTCCTATTACCCAGCAATGGTCCTGCTTTGTTTTCTAAAGCGTCTTGAAAGAGTAATGAATAGGTGGCTATGATAATAATAACCTCTTAACTCAGTAAAAGCATTATGTGAAACTTCCATTTACCTCTCTTTATATCACTCTCACTTTAATATTACCTGTTCGTTCTGTTCCTGAAGAATTATCCTTTAAAGCTTTAATGCAACCATTATGCACCAATTCTCCTAGTCGTCTGAGGTCTGTCTCTGACTTATCAACTAATTCAGCATCCCGAGCAATTGCATCTAATCTGTTAATGAAATAATACAATTTTCAGGTAAATATGCAGAATAAACTGGTGCCATTTAAGAGAGAATAAGTTTCACCCTGTCTCAAGCTCTACAAGTCACTCTACATGCCCTACAAAGTCTAGTTCACATAACTGGCACAAGATACATAAAAAAGGAGTTCAAAAAATGTTTAAAAATTTTGGCAGGGAAACAGTTCATTTATATATTTAAGAATAATAAAGTTAACCAATTAATTCATTATAGAAAAAAATGGTATGCTTCCATCTTAAAGATTATGTAATAATTCTGTAAAAGCTTTTCATAACCGATTAAATCTTAAATTTTAAAGTGGTTAAGCACTGTAATATAGATGACCCTTGAACAACACAGGCTTGAACTGGACAGGTCCAGTTACATGTGGATTTTTTTTTTTGATAAATACAGTATAGTAACTCTAAATATTCAAAATAAAACAGAGTATCTTTAAGAGGGAGTTTTGGAGAGAAAAAATAGAACTGAGCCGATCTGAGTCTTTGCCACTGTATGTTCAGACATTGGGCTTGCCACAACAAAGGACAAAGAATATTCAAATCACCAACATGTACTGAAATTAACCACTAACTTAAAACACACACATACGACTGTCCTGATACTCTGAATTTTAATAGTTCATATAAAAAGGAACCGTAATTAGGGAAACAAGAAAATTTCCCTACTAAGGGAAAAGAGAACTGGTCTTTAAGTTAAAAGACTAAGCTAGCAACTCACCTTCTCTAAAGGATAAATCTGCTATTTATAAGTTTGGGATGAAAAAGATGGGATAAAAGCATTTGAGAAGTACAATTATAAAATGTTGAGTATTTTACAGACATATGTATTTTATAGAAAACTTCATTTGTAGATAAAATTTTAGAGCCTAGAGAGAATTAAGAATATGAAAACCTTTTAAAAAATCTGAAATTTGCTTTCTACAGACTAACGCTATAAATGATTTTTAAAGCAAATTTAACAAAGTAGCTAAACCCAATAGTAGTATATATAAATAAAGTTGACAGCATGTAAACACACATTCTGTAATTCTATGAGAAAGACAAACATATTTACCTTTCCAGAGGGCCACCAAATTTCTTGTAACTCTTGATAAACCTAACAGAAAATAATTGTTTGGTTTAAGTGTGGGTTTCACTATCCATTAAAAAATAGATTTATAAATACATAGAAATAAGAAAACAGTTGTTAGTACAAAATTAATTCAAGGCACTGTTACCATACTAACACAAATGAATAAACTATGCTAAAGACAAAAATGTTAAAACATTAAGATATACCAAGCAAGACAGATTTTAACACCCAGGATGATGTTTAGAAACCAATATAAATAAAACAATAGAAGCTAAATTTTATTTTAGAAATTACTTTATTGTTTTCACAAGACAAGTTCAAGGCTACCACAGGAAGTGTGTCCAGAATTGTCAACCATACTACACCTCCTCACATTCCAAGTACTGATAAAGGTTTACTGAATAATAGCTTTATTTCAGATGTATGGCATAATACCAACAATGGAAAATAAAAATTTTACTTAAGAACAAAGCTACCCAAGTGGTTGATGGATGAGGGAAAATATCCAGGAAAAGTAGAAGTTGAAATGTTCTTCAACTAAAGACAGAAAGTCCAGCAAATCAGGTGGTCATAAAAATACCCTTAATAAAATCTAACAATATAGTTAGTTTTCTGGTAGAAAGAATGAGGAAGAACTTTATCAGTCAGGTCTATGATTAAAAGAAAAGAGTTACTACAATGGCTTGAAAAAAACAACAGACTCTCAAAATATAACAGTGAGCAAACCTTTTTACAAATTTCATAAGCAAAAATATTACATAAACAAAAGTAGGCTATTATCTCAGTCCCCTTATATGAATGTGTATAAAGAAACAAACATATTTTGAAAGAAAACTGTAATTTATCCTATGTGACTATCTTACCTCAATTCCTACTTGGACATATCAGAACTGTAATTTATCCTATGTGACTATCTTACCTCAATTCCTACTTGGACATATCAGAAATGCTTTTAACATTGTTACTTTCAAAAAGCAAATCTCCTCAGTGTTAAAAAAAAAAACTAGAAAAATATGAAACTACAGTATTCCCACATAAAAATAGTAATGTTGGGAGTCATAAATGGAGAAATTTTAATAAATAAGTCTAATGTACTAAAATATACATTCATTTTCAAAAGGGCCACTATTCTGAACATTTTTAATAAAACCAAAAAAGTTTAGCAGTCTAAGTAGACTAACAATAAATAAATAACATGCAGAGATCACATACCAAATTTTATTTTTCATAGCTATAAATGAAGACCCAAAAGCAAACCATTCAATCCCTACACAATTATCATATATTTGCCTTTCTAAAACTTTCATTTTAATCTTTGAAAATTGTGGGATTTGTCTATTTTAATTTCACCTTCTAATAAAAGGAAGCTGAAGTAAAATAGCCTTATGTCATCTTACCGCCGAATTTCTGCATCACTAAATCCTTTGATATTCTCTCGAGGAATAGTCCGTGGTCTTCCACGTTTCTTTGGCCTTTTCCTTTCTGAGATCGAGTCACTATCAGATCCAGAATATCTCCTACTTCTACTGCGCCTCCCTTCACTTCCATTAAAACTAATCTGGAATTGGAAAACAAAAATTTATCCAACTTTAAACTAAAGAAGGCTTCTAACTGTAAGTGCAAAGAAAACATTAAGAAAGACTGAGAGAATTAACAAATTCAGATCCTGTCTGTATATCAAAAATTTTTCTATAGATAAGATTAAAAAGCAAACAAAACAGAGAAAAACATGGCAGGTTAATGACAAAGAGTTATTAATGGCCCTAACATTTTTAGAAACATTCTTATATATCAGAAAGAAAATACAAAATTTTTTTTTTTTAAAGATTTATTTAGAGAGAGAGAGAATGCACGTGTCTGAGGAGGAGAGGGAGAGAGAGAGAGAGAATCTCCAGCAGTTTCCCCGCTGAGCATGGGGCCCAATGCTGGATCTCACAACCCCTGAGATCATGACCTGAGCAGAAACCAACAGTCACACGCTTAACCGATTGAGCCACCCAGGCGCCCCAAAAATTGTCCTTTTGTAAAAATGAGAAAAATTATTAAAAAGCAATTAATCAAATAGCATAAACATAGAATTAAAAAAACATCAACGGTAACAATATTTATAACACTCATTATTTAACAGAAACATCAAAACTTATTTTCTGTAAGTCTCTGGAAGTCACCGTGCATTTTCTGAACCCCTAATATGTTGAAAGCTAATTGAAAATCAAAGACAGTATTCAGTTCTTACTCATTCTAACCTCCTCTCATCCTTTCAAAAGTAGTAATATAATGCTGTGCTTCCTGTGTACTATAAAAGGAAATCATTATGGGGTTGGCAAGAATAAACACTAAAAAGAAACTACATACACGGTCACGTTCAGACCACACACATCATTTGGCTCCATTTCTGCCTATTGATAGGATGCCCCAATCCTAACAACAAACCTGATCTACAAAATTCTAACTTCTCTTACACACGTCAAAATCACAAGGCAATCTAATAGTCTAAAACATAAGAAAATAGAGCAGAGTTTGTAAGAAAAGATGGAATCTGAATACTGCCTCACCTGTGAAAAGCATGAGTTGTAGTCATCAAATATAAAAGCCGGCAAAAGGAAGTTAGCTAAAATTTGCTAAAGGCTTTGTTTGGGTGACTGTGAGAGTCCTGGAAAGGAAAGGCATGGAAAACAGAACCTGCACCCCCTCTCAGATATTCCTCCGCAAAACTCCCAACAGGTGCTCATAAGTAAAACTGGGCAGGAGATCAGAAAAAACTTTCTTCCAGATGATGGCCTGGAGAAAGGGAGCAATTTTCTACTGCACTGAGGGCACCTCACTGAAGAAGACAGAAGACACAATACTGTTGCAGGAAAAGAAAAAGAAAACAAAACACTCTACCCCTGAGGGAAAGATAGCAGGATGACTAAGCAATTCCCTCATTTGCCTCAGATTCAAAATTTAAGGAGGCACCAAAAAAGCTCAGAAATATAACGCGATATTCTAAAAAACAGAAGTTAATTCAAACAAAAAATCTAGTATTAAAGTTTCTTTCCTTTCGCTGCAGTATCTGATGTAGCCTGGCATGGCCCTGTTACCATTATTTAAAAATCTCCTATTTTCCTCATTTGGGTCATAAAATAAACAGCAATAAATTTTTAAAAATTCACATCACACAAGGTATGCTGATGATGACAGAATTAAAATGGAAATCAGTAACAAAAATAATCAGAATATCTCCCAAATATTTGGAAATTAACACACTTCATAACAACAAAAAAGAACAGAAACAAACCAACAAAAAAATACCTACGGATCAAAGAATATGTCCATAAGGCAAATTAGAATACTTTGAAATGAATGAAAATGAAAACACAACAGGTATCAAAATTTACAAGATTCAAAAAAGGCAGTGCTTAGAGGGAAACTTGTAGCATTAAACGCTAATAATACTATAAAAGGAAGGTCTTAATTAAATTGTCTTAAGAATACATCTTAAGACACTAAAAAAAGCAGAGCAAATTAAAGCAAAGCCAAAGAGTAATAAAGAGCAGAAATCAATGAATCTGAAACAGAAAAATAAATGAAACCAGGGATGATTTTGGGTGGATTTTATGAATAACTTTATGCCCATAAATTCAACAACTTAGATAAAATGGACAAATTCCTTGAAAGAAACAAACTACCAAACTCACTCAAGAAAGAAATATTCTGAATAGTTCTATATTTATAAAAGAAATTAGTGTTTCTAACAAAGAAAACTCCAAGCCTAGATGGTTTCCCTGACAAATAGTGCCAAACATTTAATGAAGAATACCAATTCTATACAAACTCTTCATAAAAGGAGAGGAGGGGTGAACACTTTCCAACTTATTTTATGAGGCAAGAATTATTAAATCAGTTGAAAACACTACAAAAGAAAACAATGGACCAGTATGCTTTATAAACAAAACCAGACCAGTCCAGGTATGAATACCCTTACAACAATCATCTTTTAAATTAAAAAGTCACCTGTTTTGCACAGTTTCTCATTCTTGGGAGCATATAAATTTCTTCAAGTTCCTTTTGTCTTTCTTCCTCTTCTAATCGTCTTCTTTGATCTTCTGGAATTATTTCTTCCCAATTCTTTGAATTTCTTTCTGGTTCCAACTCAATGTCATCCTCATCCATATTTGAAAAGTTGGCAACCTTAAATTCAAGAGTTTTAACAGAATAAGCATTAAAGAAAAACTCATCCTTAAATTACATTTTGCATTTTAGGGGAGAGGACGTGACATACCAGAATAAGGCAATAAAACTTAAATATCCTCAGGATAATGAAAAGGACTATGGATTAAACCAAAAATGACTGCTAAACTATCTAAGTTCTTTATTAGTTCTTTATTATTAATTATTTTTTATTAGGTCAAAGTAGAATAAACCAAAAAATTTCTAAGAATGATTCTCTTTTGTCCTGCTGCTCAACAAAATTAGTTGACAGACCAACAAAATAATTTATAGTAACATGCTAAATCATCTTCCGCTGAAAATACCACACCAGTCCATTAACTACAAAGTGCTGTAGAATAAACCAATATTTTTTTTATAATCATAAAAAGTAACAAAAAAGCTACTGACAAGACACAAAGAACTCCGGGTCCATAGATAACCTTTCTTAGGTTCCTACTTTCTTCATCTTAAACAAAAGGGATAGGAAGAGCTCACTAAATTTTGTGAAGATTAAATAAGAGAATACATTTAAGGAACTATAAAGACTCTGGTACATGGAAGGGATTCGTTAAACCTAACTGCCAATAGTGGCACATTAAAACTTAGAAAAAGTGGGTGAAAAAAACTTGTGCTTATCCTGTGTTAAGAAATGACACTGCAAATAGTGTTCATTCTCTCATGTCTTTATTTATTTTAAAGATTTATTTATTTGAGAGCAAGAGAATGCACACGTGCATGCATGGAGGGGGCAGAGGAATAGAATCTTCAAGCAGACTCCCCGCTGAGTGTGGAGGCCTACATGGGGCTCGATCCCAGGACCCATGAAATCACGACCTAAATGGAAACCAAGATCAGATGCTTAACCAACTGAGCCACCCAGACACCCTGTGTCTATTATTTAACTGTGATGAAAGCCCTAAAGCTAGCAGTTTAGGAGAATTAACTCACTGTTATAAAAGTAATCTGTATTTACTTTACTCAGCTGATCAGTGACATTTTTTTCAAACTGCCAATTAGTCAAATTAAAACCAAATAGTGTAACAACGTAGAGTTAATCAGACCATACCCAGATTAAGTACAGGTTCCAGAAACCTTAACTTCTCCTCAAGATTAAAGAAATAGACCTCTAACTTATCTCCCTGCTTTTAATTCTTGCTCCATTACAGTATATCCTCCACATTGCAGCCAGAGTGATTCATTAAAACTACAAACGTTTTTATTCACTGCTGTGTCCCTGTGCATGGCACACCATAGGTGCTCAATAAATATTTGTTGAATGAACAAATGACACAAACTGAACTGCTCTCCTTAAAACCCTCAGTTCATGAAAATGGCTATAGAGGAACCTGCTTCTTTACACTAAACAACTGGCATACAACTTACTCTATGAGGCTGGCTGACTTACATTGCTTTAGGACTCCTTGCAACCTAACCCTCCAAACCAGGGGTATTTATAGGTACTAATAGGAGCTCATTGCTTACATGGACTGATTAACTTGAGTTTTCTTAGGTGTGATAATGCTTAACTTAATGTCAAAAACTGCTCCAACAAATAGAAGGCTAAAAGCCTTTTGTCATAGAAATCTCCATTAGAGATCATGTTCATTCATTTACCCAAATATTTGAGGATGTGCTATTTGCCAAGCACTTTTTTAGATGCTAATTAGAATGACAGCCCTCCTCATTCCACTGTATGTATCTATTCATAAATGATTTCGTCCTTTTCAAAAGAAGTTGCTACTGGTTTGTCAGAATAAGGGAGAAAAATTTTCATACACCATAGCAAATTTTAAGCCAAAAATACTGAGAAATTATCATGTTGATTGTGCTTAAAGAGATTAATAAAATGCAAAATGACAAAAAATAATCACTCCCTCTCAATTTAGATAATTTGAGAGAAAAATTAAAAAGAAAAATCTACCTTGAACTGGGAAAGCAATTCATCTCCTACAGTTAAAGGGCCTGGTTCGTTTTCATGAGTTTCAGCCCTCTTCAAGATTTCATCTATATCCATTTCCTATAATTAGAAAGAAATTTTTAGGTATACTTTAACATATTTTGAGGTAGATACACCTTATACTTATAAGTTTAAGGAAATGGCACGTTTTGAGGCAAGTTTTTTTTTTTTTTTTTACCTGGGGCTCTTGTTCTTCTCCTTCAGGTTCCTTAAAAAGTTCCTCAGCGCCAAACTTTAAAATGGCTGATAATTCTTCTTTATTGAAAGGAGTAGAACTAAATCAAGAAAAACAAATAAAAATGCTTAATACTAACAGTTAGTAATATTTACATTGCACTTTTATTCATTATTGACACAGTCAACTTTATATAATTTATATGACAGTTAGACATGTTAAGTATTATAAGTGCACTTATTTTAAAAGTTAAGAACTTGAAACCTGGAAGTTAAAGGAATTTCTCCCAAGATTTATAAAACTTGAGTGGTAAAATCAGTACTGAATGTATGCTTTTGACTAAAAATTACTCCAGTACTTTAAAAAATTACAATACTAAATATGGTACCTCAAAGATCTGCTTATAGCATGTAAGATTTCAGGAAAATGAGTGCAGAATGATTCTAAATGACTTTTTTTTTTTTAAATATTAAAGTAACTACCAGGGTGCCTGGATGGCTCAGTTGGTTAAGCATCTGCCTTTGGCTAAGATCATGATCTGAGGGTTCTGGGACAGAACCCCGTGTCATCGGGTTCTCTGCTCAGAGAGAAGTCAGCTTCTCTCTCTCCCTCTGTTCTTCTCTCCCTGCCCCCGGCTCATGTTCTCTCTCTCAAATGAAAAAATCTTAAAAAAAAAAATAATAATAACTACCTTGAGGGGGCAGAACCTGTATGTAGTACTGTCTTCCCAGTTGTGTCCATTCTCTGAATCACAAGGTGATCCAAAACCATCTTCTTTTTGGCCCTTTCAAGTATATCCTCTTCAACTGATCCCTTTGTAACTAGACGATAAATATTCACCTGTAAAGATATGCATAATGAAACATAAAATGTAGTAAAAAGGATTCATTTTGCTCATCTGAAATACCCAAAGGTCAGGAGTTCTATATCAAACAGTACCACCATATAGGGATATTTTGAAAATTTATGGGAACATTTTTAAAGTTTCTGAAATCATTAGGTGGGCTTACCAGTACTTAAGAGCAAAGGAACCTGGGATACCAGACATTCTGCATTAAACTGGACATTCAGGCACAAAGAAAAAGTATCCTGAGTCTTTCAAGTCTTACAAATGATTTTTAAAAACCTTTTTAAATTACTGAGTCTAAATTTGAACTCCATTTTAAGGTAAACAAGAGTTTTAATGAAATTATAAAACATACACTCGTTTTTTCAGCATTGTAACTATTGCATAGATACCCTTTTATTTAGATCTCTGTCAAAGTTATTTCCAAATGTGTATAGTATTGGTGTCACCAATAAAACTCATCTGTATTACTCATCTATACTCATTTTGTAGTTGCTGCACGTAAATATTTAATAAAAGATATGAAATACCTTGTGTCAGATTTAGAACCAAATACTAGTAAAACCACAGGTATGTGCATGATTTCACACATGTGGAATCTGAAAAAACTAAACAACTGATCATAGGGGAAAAAGAGAAGCAAACCAAGAAACAGACTCCTAACAACAGAGAACAAATTGATGGTTACCCTGGGCGGGGGGGGGGGGGTTTAAATAGGTGATAAGGATTAAGGAGGACACCTGTTGTGATGAGTACCAAGTGTTGTATGGAAGAGTTGAAGCACTATAATGTACACCTGAAACTAATATTACATTGTATGTTAACTAGAATTTAAATAAAAACTTAAAAAACAAACAAAAAACAGCCAAGTACATGAGGCACAGGAATCTTAATACACCAATAATAAAATAATAAAGAATATACCTCAATAATCATTAATAAAAATATGTATTCATATTTATATATTTTAAATGTTATTAAATGATAATGTATTAATTAAATTCTATTTTAAAATACAGTCATATTTATGTCGCATTTATTTTTTAAGTTTTGTAACAAAATAGTAAGAAATCTGTTACCATTATTTTACAATCTTACTCAAATATTCTTCCTAGAGGTCTACCATGCAACTTTATATAGTATTTTATCTAACTGGTTCTTCTAATGTATCCTCTACTTTCTATCACCTATTAGAAAATGGGGTGGCCTTTAAGTAGTATTTAAGTAGTATAAATGGAGTATGAGCCCAGCCATGTACTGAGGATTTCAATATAGGAGGGTTTAGTGCAATTAACCACTACTCCCTATCTCATTCATAAAACAGGGCTATTTTGACTATTCACATATACATTAGGCCCAGCTCACCTGTGAGATTAACTTATTTCTTCACCCTCTCCTGATAGTCTATAATTTATCTTGGCATGTTATTATCCCTACTTCAAGTTTGCTTCTCTTTATAATGTGTAAGTAAGTGTTATTATTTAATTTTCATGGTAATTTCTACTGTCTTACGCACCAATACACCCGATCTTTCCTTCCTTTGTACCTTCTATGGAGAATGCGTCCTGCTCTAATTTTCCCAACTCTAAATTTGTTCTTTATATCCCAGTGTAGTCATATATATCAAAATACCTATTTTTTAAATAGACTTTGTTTTGTTTTTTACATAAATTGCTATTAGAGCATTCAAACTATTTTCAAATTCATGTATTCAAGGAAAAGGGGATGCTAAAAACAGCTGTTGTTAAAAGGGGTCACTGGGTCTGATGATGTTAAGAACCACTACTGTAAATACAAGCTATCACACTTAGGGGTATGCAATGTTGTTCCAGAGTATAAAAATTACGGAAAGCAGCGTAATGTATTTCTGATGAGAGTTTTATGAGAATTATTTGGGCAAAATATTTTTTTTCAATTAAAATTATGGACATATTTTTCAGTAGGAAACATGAAATCTTAAAAGGGTAATATAAATGTGCTCTTTCTGTGCTATTTGTTCGTATCTCTTGCTTTGGAGAAGTTTGAGAAGCCCTACTCTAGATGGAGGTAAATGAATTAAAATACAAGGACCAAGGCCATGATCTCAAGGCCTATTACAACGGTGTCAGATAGCTGTACAAAAACTATAAAATCAGAATGGCTTTTTTGCATAAAGAATCTTATAGGCAAATGGATAAGATACAGGTTAACAAAAAAAGGTGGCAATATCCTAAGCAAAATCTCCAATAGTTAAGATAATAAAGACACTTTAATGCTTATGTTTTCAATGAAAAACATTGGTGCCCTACAGCTGTAAACAGAATGTATCATTAAAAGAGAATGCATAATCCTATTATGGCAGGCCTTGCAGCTGTTAGGTCTCTGAAATCCGGGTCTGACAGCTGTGTCTGTATGCGATGCGCGGCGCCTGCTGTGCCAGCCCCAGGGTGCTCCTTGGGCAGGCTCCCCGCCCAGGGTCCACGGGTGCCCTCCATCCACTCCCCAACCCCTCCCCGCTCGGGTATTCAATTCTGCCAGACCTTCCAGGTGATTTTGGTAAATCTGAGTTTCTGAGTACTTTACCTGTTAAAGAGCAACATGACTGTGTTCCAATGATCTGACCCAGAAGATAAACCAAATCACTTCCAAACACTGATGATCATAAAAAAGGAATCTAAAAGTAAAATAAAAAAAAAAATACCTGTTTCTTCTGCCCAATTCGATGAGCTCTAGCCTGTGCCTGAAGATCATTTTGTGGATTCCAATCAGAATCAAATATAACAACAGTGTCAGCAGAGGCTAAATTAATTCCCAGGCCTCCAGCTCTTGTGGAAAGCAAAAAGCAGAAATCCTGTAAGGAATTATAAATAGGCTCAATTTTAAATTTGTCTTAACTGTGACTGTGAATAATTAGAGAATTTTACAACTGATTTTTTGAATTCAAAAGTATTTTACCAATAAAAGTAAAAGGCATTTTTAAAAAATACTAATAAAATACAAAAACCTCTAGCAAAACCAATCAACAAGACTCCTAAAAAAATATACATAGGAACAATATATATCAAATTTAAAAATTTGTAAATGAAAGTGGGCTAATTTATTCTGAATCAAATTAACTGTCCTATGCTGAAATAGTATTGATAAGAAAGGGTAAAATTCTTCAGATTTAACACAGAATATTGATTTTAAAACCTCACTTACAAAGAAAAACTGGGTAACAAGATTTAAAAAAAAAAGCACATACAACTAAAATGATTAATTTACAATTTTAAAAGCATTCATACCTCTGATCCTTCAGCATTAAAATGATCTAGAGCTTGTTTTCTCAGTTCCCCTTTTATTGATCCATCTAATCTCTAGAATAAAACACATTAAAATACTGCATATGATTCAAATATTTAAAAAAGATATTAAAATCAACAATGAAATTAAGTATGAAAAGGCAGTATTGCTTTTGCTAAGACTGTAAGAGTATAAGGCACCTAAGAGGCAAGAAGACAATACCCAGGCATTGTCTCTCAAGTCTGTGTTCTTAACCACTAAAACTATTTCCCCAGATAATAACAGTAAGTAATGACAATGGCTATCATTCTGCCTGAGTCTCACTGTAAGAAACACAGCTGTATACCCAAAGCAAGTTACATGACACCGTGTACCATGATATACCCTCATATGTTAAAATCTATTTCATTTTTTCAAAATGTTGGTACAACTCATTGAAATGATTCCCAGATCCATTAATAGGTTACAGACCACAGTTTCGTAAATGCTGATTAAGTCCAGTCTGGTTACTGGACCAACAGCCATCAGTGTCACCTGAGAACTTAGAAATGCAAATTTTTGAGCCCCATCGCAGATCTACTGAATCAGAAACTGAGAAAGGGGTCCAAGGGCTCAGTTGGTTTAGTGTCTGCCTTTGGCTCAGGTCATGATCTCAGGGTACTGGGATTAAGCCCCATGTTGGGCTCCCCACTCAGTGGGGAGTCTGCTTCTCACTCTCCCTCTGCCCTCCTCCCTGCTCATGTGTGCTCTCTCTCTCTCAAATAAAATCTTTAAAAGAAATTTAAAGGGAGAGAGAGAGAGAGAGAGAGAGAAAGGGGTCCAGCAAAAGCCCTTGATTAAGTTTGGGAAAGCCACTGATTTGGGGAACCATGGGTTCTAGTCAAATAGCCTGCATTTGAGTGTCTTCAGTATTCATGAGTGCCTGGGCAAAAATTCAGAGCACTCAGTGAGAGAAATTCAGAGCACTCAGTGAGAGAACACAGTAAAACACTTAGCTCAGTGTTGGATATATATACTGAGTCCTTACTAAACATTAGCTGATGTCCAAAATAAAAAAAAAAAAAATTAAATAGTGCTATTTCTTTTTCATTAACAATTACAATTAGTAAAGACTTTTAAAAAACAGTGGGTATACCATTTATTGAAGTATGACCTAAACCAAAAGAGTGGTAAAAATAATTTTCTCTGGGAATTAATCTGGGAATGAGAAGGGATTAGAGGCAAAGAACTGCTAATAAGCACTTCTTTACTATTTGTTTTGTTTGACCATGTACACATAATAGTTTGTCTAAAAACGACAGAGGGTTGGGGTGGGGAGAGAGGGGTGATATGGAGAAACATGGTGATAGCTAAAGGGTACAGTTTCTTTTTGAGGGGATGAAAACATTCTAAGATTGTGTTGATGGCTGCCCAACTCTGTGCATGTATTAAAAAATCACTTAATTGTACACTTTAAATGGATGAATTGCATGGGAAGGAAATTACATCTGAATAAAGCTGTTAAGAAAATCAAATGATACTTTTCCCCTAGCGTGAATGACTATATATTTCTCAATCATGTTCATATCACCAAAAACCTGTCCTTCAAAGCAGACATTACCAGAGTTATAATGTTATTTTTATTTGTAATTACCTGCTTAATGTCTGTCTTCCACATTATGATGTAAACTCCCAACAGAGCAGGGATTATGTGTGTTGAGATTCATCTTTATAATTCTACCTCTATTTTATTTCCTGCACTAAATATATATCATTTACTAGTTATATGAGTGTTCACTAGGTTCTAGGCACTGTTCATAAAAGCATTAAATAAGGATTAAATTATTAGAAAGTACTGAGACTAGCACCTGTCTCCTAACATTAAACATTCGTATTAGCTTTAATTACACTGAATGGATTTCAAAATAAATACTGAATAGATGGACTATAAGACCATTTTGGTCTTTAGTACCTTCCTTGGAGTCATCTATAGTTTTATACAGCAAGCTATGTATTAGAATAACTATGAGAACATTATTCTTCAGAATCTGTAACGGTTCTGGTAACATTCACAAGGACTGCTCTCTCTTTCCCCTCCTCAAACTAAAGCCTAATACATAATGCTGCCCATTTAGATTTGAGCACAGAAGTACAGAATTAAAATAAAAATTAGAGAAAAGAAAAATTGCTTTGCTGCTAAATGTAAGGTCAAGAAGAAAAAAAAGGAATAATGATAAACAATTTTTTTTTTTCCCCCAAGAGGAAGAGAGAGAGAGGAGAGGTGGGGCAGAGGGAGAGGAGGAGGGACAGTCTTAAGCAGGCTCCACACCCAGTGCAGAGCCTGACCTGGGGCTTTATCTCATGACCATGAGATGACCTGAGCCAAAATCAAGAGTCAGCTTAATTGGCTGAGCCACCAGGCACCCCCAAAATAGAAATTTTTAAAACAAATATATTATCTTAAAAGTACAGTTTATATAAAAATCTATACAGAAGAATTTCAAAGGTAATTTTGTAGAACACCCTCAAGAATCAGATGAAATTTAAGGCAACAAAAAAGAAAAAATGAAATGCTTACTTGAAAGGGGAATTGACGGTATTTCAAATATTCTGCAAGTATATCTAACATCCGCACCATTTGAGAAAAAATAAGAACTCTATTGCCTCGTTCTCTTAGGCGAATTAACAGTTTGTCAAGAAGAATCAATTTTCCGCTACTACGGATTAAGTGCTAGGAAACAATAAATTACAACTGTTAACAGCATGTGAAAAGAATCAATCAAATGAAACAAATACTCCACTTAATACTTCATCTTCTTTATATTTAAAATTGAAATGTTATGTTTTTATAATGTTGGAAAACAGTTTATTTCAGTTTTCAAAATTTTCTAGGACTTTCTAGGATCACTCTGATCTATGCCAGCTAAGACTTTCCTTGCCATTTAGCACCTAGGTTTCTGTCATGTTTTGGAGGTAAAGGGATGCGGGGAGCAGTTTCTCTTTATTTGTAGTTATTACACTACTTCTCCAAAAATCTTTGAAAAATAATATATTGAAAGCAGCAGCAACTAAAGGTTTTAAAACAGTAAGAAAACCTATTTTAATTTATACATATCAGTCACTGAACCTAGCACTTTAAAGCACTACTGCGGCTGGATGGCAGTTGTGCCTTCTTCATACTTTCCATTTGTCTTCCAGAAGTGACAAGAATGGTAAAACCTGAGGTCAAGATGTCTTTCTCAAGACTACCAATTGCCAGATCACAAATTCAGCACATTCACTGATGTGAATTTTTGTCAATTAAGAATATACTAAGGGATTTCTGCTGGATAAATCTTGGTAGTCCATACAAATCCATTTTTAGAAAAATGATCAAAATAATTAATTGGATAAATTATAATTTTGAAGGCTTTTTTATAAAGACTAAAAAAACCCCATTATTTAATTATACCATAACCAAAGAGAAATTCTAACCAATATATTAAAGCCTTGGGGCATTTTCAGTTATAACTGCAATAAGCATTCCTAGAATTTTGCTTTACTATAAAGTAACAATATTTTAAAATCCTTACTTGTAAGGCCTCCTGTTTATTATAGAATTCATTATTATCTGGTGGTTTAATGAGGTAGCAATGGTTACAACATTTCTTTAGCTCCATCATAATGTTCAAAAAGCCTGAGGTACTGCCCTTGGAACCTTTGCTGAGGGCTTTGTAATTCCTAGTTAATATCCATCTGTTTAAAGAAAAAAAAAAACACAAAAATGAGCTTTAGCAGAATACTTACCAGGTCCGTGTTTACGGACCTAAAATCATGAAAAAACAATCAAGCACCAAAGCAATATTGCACCATTACGAAGTTTACAACTGGATAATACAATGGACCAAACCTCATTCACAAGACTATGAACTTCATAAAATTAATGAGAACACAACATGTAACTTGTTATCTGTGCTATATACAGTAAAGGCTTAATGTAACATAGTGAGTGTAGTGTATTAATCCTTTTTCCCCCAAAGTTACTTCAAAAATGGGTCAGCTATCATCTATATTAACCTTCCTACAAATTTTACTACATTAGGCAACCAAAACATAGACCTATAAGAAACCACATGAGCATACCTGGTTTACCCACACTGCCTTCTCTAAATTACAATTAAACAATACATATGCAACTTGTAGAAAAATCACAGGTGGTTATTTTATCACTCCAAACTATTTATGTAACTATGTAACATTTCCTCTCACCACAATATACTTTGTCTTCTACCAACTTTTATTTTCTTCCTTTTTATAAGGTTAATCTTGAAAGGGACTTGAAACAATTTTATCTCTGATTTGCCTCAAAATGATAGGAGGTGAGGGAAGTGGGAATGGCTAGAGATAAAATAAGACTGGCTATGAGTTAAAAACAAAGCCAAGTTTTGGGAATTTATTATGTCATCCTCTTTTTGTATATGATGTTTGAAATTTTCCACAATACAAACCTAAAATTCATGCAATAATGTATTTTCTTTTAATGTATGGCACTTTACAGATGTTACCATGAAATAAGTTTCTGAGAATCTAAATGCATGTAGCACTGCATTTTATGCAATTACATGTTTAAATAACTATTAGGACAAATATTACCTTTTGATTCTTTGAAGTAGTACTGTATAGATCTTACATATAAATTTATCTAAAGTATGATTAATATTCTTCAACAGGGGGCCTAAAATTTTAAGTTTCTTTTTCTGGCCTCTACCTCTGTCAATTATGTAATTATCATAACTACAAAATAATGCCTTAGTATCACTAACACTTTAGTATTAACACTTAACAGAACCCTCTATATGGTAACAGAGCATAAAATAGACAAACACAGTTAAGTCTTAGGTTCCCCATGATCTTGAACATGCCATTCAATCTCTCTTTGCTTCAGGAGCCCATAGAATAAACCTATTCTAAAATTCAAGAATTGTTATTGCTCTAAAAACCTATTGTGGGGCGGGGGGACACCTCGATGAGACAAGGTTACAGAGGGTTATTCAGAATTAAATATCCAGAACATGTGGTCTGTTTACAGCTTACTTGTAATACTGTTTCTGTAAAGCACTCATTTCCATTCTTAAAATCTGCTCAACCTTGGCAGGAAGAGATTTTTCCACATCTTTTTTAACTCTGCGTAACAGAAACGGCTCAAGCTCCTTGTGGAGGCTTGCATAACCATATTCTCTGCCTTTTCCATGTTCTTCTTCAAAATCTTCCCAGGAAGAAAACCTTAGAAGTTTAAGAAAATGGAAGAACCACTGAAAAAAGTCATATTGCACATGAGTTTTTTGAGAGTAGTCATATATAAACAAAATATAGACTTTCAGGAAAAAAGATTTGCTAATATTAGTCACTTCTAAGAACTATCCTTCCCAAGAAATCTGTCCTATATGTATATAAAGGTGAAATATAAGTTCTTTTACAAAAATTATGATTCTCTCTGAGCTAAAGATGTTAAATAAAATTATTTTCAAATACAGAATTATCACTAAAATATTTCTCAAAGAATATAATTTTAAAATTCTCAATCTATTGAAAAAAAATGTTTGTCATCTTGAACAAGTTATCTGACCCTTATCTAGTCTACTTTCCCTCATTTAAAAAAAGGGATTACCAGGACCTTATTATTGTAGTTATTGCTACTATTAAATATTAAGAAGGATAATGTTTCAGTTTTTCAAACGAATATTATTTTGAACAAGGGCAAAATCAACTGCTGTAATTTATTACACGTGACTCAAACTTATTTACAAAACTGAAAAATTAAAATATTAGAAATACGAAATGTTGCATCCCATTTCCTATTTTTTATTTTCCTTCTTAAAAATCTGTGGTCTAATGTTCTAGGCCAATAAAACTTCTACGGACCTTACTACCTACACTAATTATTTTCCTGCTAAGCTTAACATATAAAACTAATATTAAAACTGTATATCCCAATTTATCTTACTTTTCTGGCATAATGAAATGTAGCAAAGACCAGAGCTCTTTGAGGGAGTTTTGTAGAGGAGTTCCAGTAATAAGGAGACGGTGATTGGACTTAAAGTCTATTAAAGTTTTATACAGAAGAGAGTCATCATTCTTTAATCGATGTGCTTCATCTACACCTATAAACGCCCAATTCAGACCTCCAAGGAATGCCTTAAAATGAACAGAAAAACACAGTTAATATTTTAAGAGAAAAATTAAATTCAAATTATTAAACTGAGGCAAAGTAAAATTAAAAGCAAACTTGTCTTTTTTCAAATAAAAATTATATATTATTTCAAGATTTACTGAAATCCTCAAAGTAACTCAACATGCAAAACAAAGTTCCTTCCATGACTAAGTCACCCACTGGAAAACAGAAAAGCAAATGAAAGTCTTTACTAGCTTACACATTCAAAAAAAGGAAAAAGAAAAACAATAGTATCATTAAAATAGTATTTAAAAATTTTCAGATTTTTAGCTTAAGGCCAGCAGAAACCTCTATTAATGTCAATTTAGAGAAAATATGATATAAATTTGGAAGTGTCTTTTTTCAAGTGTAGAAATAATTCACTGTATGATTTTTATGAACTGTGGATCTCTAATATATAAATGTGGGTCTCTGACTTAAAACAGAGACAGGCCTCATTCTGCTATTTAATGGTTGTATGACCTAGGAGACAAGCACATTAACCTCTTTGCACTGGATTTTTCTTTCCAATAAAGCAAAAATAGCAGTATCTTATAAAATGGATGGGTACTTGAGATATGAACTATAAAGAACTAAATACAGAACATCTATAAAGCATTTAGCTTAGTGCTTCACCCAGGGGTAGCTTAATTCTTTTAGGTATTTTCCTCCTCTCTGAAGATCTTACAAATCAACACACTATGACAAACTAGTTTTATATAAGTCAATAGTTGGCAAACTTTTCCTGTAAAGACCCAGACGGTAAATATTTTAGCTTTCTCAGACAAATGTGTGATGGTCTCTGTCACATATTCTTTGTTTTTACACCATCTAAAAATGTAAAAACCATTCTTAGTTCAAAAGTCATAAAAAACAAGCCAGATTTGACCCACAGGATGTAGTTTGCTGACCCATGATTTATCTTCTCACCCTATCCACAATATAAAGGAAAAATGGATATACACCAAACAGAAAAGCATAGGTAATACAAACCTTATCCTTCAATAAAATTTCGTAAGTTGTTAAAAGTATATTAAATTTTAACCGTTTGGTCTGGGGATGCATCCATTCATGAGTTCTTATCTATCAAGAAATTTTAAAGATAATTTTAAGACAAACATTAAGAAAAGTATACTTTTATTTGAATATCTAAAAAAAAATCCCTCCAAAATACACACAAAAAAATCTGTTTATATAACAAAATCATTTTAATTCTTAACAGTCCAACAAGCTACACTCATCTTACTTATAAATGAAATATAAATACCACAGCATATCAAAACCTATAAAAATAAAGCAGACACATTTTTAAATACACACTTTCCACTGAAGGAAGTTCATATTTAACAAAACATAAGTGATTAATTCATTTAATAACATAGCATTTATGGATGAAATATGATGTCTGGGTCTGCTTCACAATATTTGGGAGGAAAGTACTCTGTAGAGGTACAGATGAAACAAAACCGGCAAAGCATTAAAACTGTGAAGCTGGAGATGGGCACAAGAGTTTTATTATAGTCTTCTGTTTTCATGTATATTTGAAATTCTCCGTAAGAAATTAGAAAAAATATATATTACATAAAGTGACACTCAGATGAAAATTGCCTTTTATTACAGCCAATTAAATATGTACTGAGAGTACTTATTTTGTGGCAAGTTTTACACTAGAAACTAAGACTATAAAGACAAGTATGTCTAAATTTCTAAATTTGTGGAGAAACAACTTACCATATTTCTGCTGTTAATGTCACCTAAATAAACCACAGCATTCATTTGAGAAGCCCATGTCTGAATTTCCCTTTGCCAGGAAGTAAGAGTGGAAAGTGGTACTACTAACAGAAAAGGTCCATATAATTGATGTTCATGAAATAAATAGTTCAGAAATGAGATCGTCTGTATTGTTTTTCCAAGGCCCATTTCATCAGCAAGTATGCAACTATTTCCTCTACAAAATTAAAAACAACAATTATGTATGCAATAGATTCAAATTTATAAAGAAACCTTTTTACATAACCCATATACAAATTTAAACAGTTAAAATTAATCTGAAAGGTATACAAACAATACACCACTTTTATTAGCTATAAATAATAAATGTAAAGGCCTCTGTAATAGTATTAAAAAAAGTGGATGAAGTTTACCATTTTAGTCCGAAGGAAACTTAAAGATTAACAGTAATATGAAGTAGTGCAGCAATTAAATAGGTTAAACTCAAACTCCCCTGGATTTTCTTCTTAGTATGTAATAAATATTACTATATACTGAGGAAATTCAAAAGCCTGCATATAAATACCAGTCTTCATCCTTGATATTGGTGGAAATCTTTTCCAAACCCTGTATTTGTAAAATTCGTATGTCCTCAAATTAAACAGACAATTCAAAATATACTCACTTGCACCAAGAGTGAGCAAGCCAATTTAAACCATTCAGTTGATAATCTCTTAATTCTAAACTCTCATGTCCTCCAATATAGGATGGCTGCTTCTTTAGGGCTACAAATCTTGGCCTTTGTTTTAATACCTTTAGTAGAAATAAATGTAGTAAGAAGAACTATCAAATGTGAGAATCTTAAAAGATCAAAATCTCAGATTTTACCATAAATTTTGAAATTTTATCTCAAATTTTCAAGCTCAGAAATTCCATGACTCAAATGTATCTCAGGATTCATTCAAAGAAGACTGTTTTCTCTTACTGTAACAACACTGTACAATGAAATATTTTGCCCTCTTTTTTGGACAAAAAATGATAGAAATAAGTAAGTTCCTGCTGAAATACTTGAGTCTTACACAGTTCAGAAGCAATAGCTATGTTAAATTCATTCATTTAACTGCTAGTGCAGCCCTGACCTAGAAATAAACCATATAACTGGCTTAACTTTCTGATTTCTAAATTACCATTATCAGTTTAATTCAGTCTTATAGTAAGAAAACAAATTCTAATAGTATAAAGACCCTCAAAACTACTGTTAATAATGTCTCTAAGTAAAAAGATCTTATATTAGGCAAGGTAGTCTTAGGTACCACTTCTTTTCTTATGGGTACATCCCTCTTTTCTTTCCTACCTTCAAAGAAAATATTCACTACCTTTTAAAGCAAGCATATATATCTATTTTCCAGGTAATTTCCCCTATTTGTTCTCCCCAAGACACTCCTCACAACTATGACCACCAATTTATCATCTTCCTGATAGTTTCACTCACCAAGGCTAAAAGACAGCACCACATCTAAGACCACACAGCAATCACCAGAACACCTTCTCCTCTAAGACCTATCAACCAAGCAGTTCTCTCTCTTAGGCTACCTGAAATCAAGATCCAACTCTCTATTTGGGCTTGTAATATTAATGATGTGTAAATACTATTTTCATTAATTAAAAATTTCCAACAATACTCACTTTGCAATCTTTAAAAGGAGTGGTTTTTGACTGATTCCTGCTAAAATACTCATCTATGCATGCTTGAAACTTTTTGGAAATTAGAGCTCCATCCTCCCAGCTGCACTCTGAGTATGGAAGGCCCTGCCATTTGCAATAATAATCAGGATAACCAGCTGCTGACTTCTGATTGGAATGAGCTGTGAGATAAATCAGATATTTATTTATTTATTTTCACACTGAATCTTATCCGAGGACTAATCTTTGGTAAAAAACTACACAAGCAAAAATTAGTCATCTGGTTTACAATGCCCTATGACAGTAAGACTAAACTACTGTATTTGATGTATAAGCAATACATTTAAATTTTTTTCAGATCAAAATGGAAAGATAAAACTTTAGTGAGAATCATTTATTACTAACCAATTATTCGTTCCACTATTTGATACTGTTTGTGTAGATCATCTGTGAGTTCCTGCTGGCAATTATAATATTCCACATCTTCTGGAGAAGCATTTTTCAACCTGAAAGATTAATCCAGAAATAGACTTCAAAATCTCCCCTAAATAACCATTCCCCCAAATACTATCTGTAGCACAAAATCTCCCATTTGCCACTTATCATGTGAGTCAGCTGAATAGTGAAGAAACTGAAATAGAAATAAAGTGAAGCATCATTAATTTTTAATTTAAAAAAATGTATAATTTATAATATATGACATGACATTCTACATGACTATTATTAAGGAAAAGTTTAGATATGGCTATTTCCAAAAAGTTTTACCTTCAAATACAATTTAAGAGTATAAATAGTTATTTTAGGTTACTGAATTTTTTTTGTTTTAAGATTTTATTTATTTATTTGACAGAGAGCGAGAGAGTGAGCACAAGCAAGAGGAGTGGGAGAGGGAGAAGCAGGCTCCCCTCTGAGCAGGGAGCCTGATGCGGGGCCGGATCCAAGGACCCTGGGATGATGCCCTGAGCTGAAGGCAGACGCTTAACCGAATGAGCCACCCAGGGCTCCCCTTAGGTTATTGTACTCTTGACTATGTATTCCTTATTAACAAAAAGCTTAGTAATCATCTTTGAACTGTTAAAAAATTAAATGTAATATAAAACGTATTTACCATCTTTTTGTTTCCTGATCTTTTTTCTTATAATTATCCAATTTTTTCATTCCTCTAACATTCTGCTGCTTAAGGGTTTCTTCTGTCTCCCAAGTATTGTGAATATGGGACCATCCTTTCCATTTAATTAAATATTGGATCTCGCCTGGTTCCTTGTTTTTTTCAAATCCTGCATTTGGGTCACCATCTGCTTCAACTGCATAGATGGTTGTAGTAGCACCAGTAGCTGAAAAAGAAAACACAATACATTCCATGTAATTCTGCTATAAGACTGTTTCCTTCAATTCAAAAATTCAAGAATATGAAGAGAAAAATATATGTGCTTTTAAATAAGTAAAGATTCAGGGTATGAGAATTTAAGGAAAATTGTATTATACATACATAAAAGAAACTCCAAATTTTAGAATGGGAAGATTATCTAATTTAATTTCCTCAGTTTTAAAATTAGAAAAAACAAGGTCAAAAGACAGTGGCACACCTAAGATCATACAGTACTTTATAATAACCGATGACTGGATGCCTGATAACTGGAAATAAAATGAAAAATCACCTTTAAAAACTCCAAAATCATTATGTTGGAGATACCTGTACCCTCTTGTTCAATGCAGAATTATTTACAACAGCCAAGACATGGAAACAACCTAAGTATCCCATCAACAGATAAAGAAAATGTGATACACATATATAATGGAATACTATTTAGCCACAAAAATGAAATCCTGCCATTTGCAACAATGTGGATGAACACTGAGGGTATTACACTAAGTGAAATAAGTGAGACAGAGAAGGACAAATACCACATGATCTCACTTACATATGGAATCTAAAACAAACAAAGGAAAAGCTCATAGGAAAAGAGATCAGATCTGTAGTTACCCGAGGCAGCTCGCAGATGTGTGTGGGGAGTAATAATGTAGATGTATACAGACTTCCAGGTGTAAGATAAATAAGTATTGGGGATGTAACGTACAACATAATGAGCATAGTTAACACTGCTGTGCAGTATATTTGAAAGCTACTCAGAGAGATTTTAAAAGTTAAAAGGAAAAAAACTTTCCTTTTTTTCTTCTTCTTATTCTATCTATATGAGATGATGGATAAATATAAACTAAACTTAGTGTGGTAATCATTTTGTAATATATGTAAATCATGCTGTTCACCTTAAATTTATACACTGTATGTCATATCTCAATAAAACAAAAAAAATGCATGTGAAGATAACTAATTTGAGATGAAAGAAAAAACATTTAAAAATAACCAAACTATTTGAGAAATTGAAAGTACCTAAATAACAACCATTATTTAGGCATGACAACAGAAAAGCTCAAATACGTAGGTTAAAAATTTTTCTAATTATCTGCAATCAATGAAGTGAGGTTAAGTGGATTATTCTGTGGGAAGAAAATACTCAGGCTAAACAAAGTATATTTTATAACAAATAAGTATAACAGATGAAAAGCCACCCTCTTCACTTTCAAAACTGAAATAACTTCAAGAAATACTCCACTGTAGTAAATATTGCTGAAACAACCAAATAAATGTTTTTTAAGAAAATACCTCCTTTTCTCCCAATCCGACAATCCATAAAACGTTCTATTGTTTCAAATTCCTCTTCCTCAGGTTGAGGAACATCCTCCCCACAGACTTCCAGTAGATCATCAGAATCTGTTTTCATTTCTTCATCTTCTTTATAGCTAACATTGACAGTTGCTTGGCGACGAGAACTTCTTTTATCATTATCATAATCTTCTTCATCATCTTCCTCCTCAGATGAATCAATCTGTCTCTTTTTTTGTCCAAGAATTTTCTTCCCATTTTTTGCCTTAGATCTAGGTAGGGAAGACCAAGGGATAGAGGTGTTTTATAGAAACACTAGCATAGAAAACAAGATGGAAGACACTATATACAAAACGAATACCTTCTGTAACCAACAATTTTCAGTGTCAATACTCACCTATTTTGAGGTTTTCTGCTTTTAACTTTGTTTTTTGGCTCATAATCAGATTCTGTTTCATCACAACTGCTTTTATCTCTTTCTTCTTCAGATTCTGAATCTGAACCAGACTGAGATGGAGATCCTGACCCAGACATTTGCCAATCTTCACTGTATATAGAATATATAAAATATGTTTGTTTATCCTTACATTGTATAGCAAATTTTATCTCTGATAAAAGTATAAAGAAAAAAATTAAACGGAACTACATTTCAGTTACTATAAAAAAAATTGTTGCTTTTACCCACACCAACACATTAAAATGTGAGTAGAGTAAAAAAAAATGCTGGAAAATATTCTTCACAGATTTCTCCTATAACGCCACAGTTTTATTAATCATTTAGTTATACCTCAATGAATGGTAAATAAGGAAATGTTACTCTATCACTGTGGATGAAAACATAGTATGCTATTTAAAGAATCACAGGCTTAATTTTGAAAATCTTGTAGAATTATACTTGCCCTCTCAAAAAAAAAAAAAAAAAGATTCTAATCCCTTTCACTTCAATTTTCTGGAGACTGTGATTTTTAAAAAAATACACCCTGAAACTGATTTTTAAAATATTGTACATGTTCATTAAGAAGCTTAAAATACAATATAGAAAAATGTATTAAAAAAATATCAGTCCATTTTAAGCAACAGTCAATGATTACCTTACCTTTATTGCTATTTTTAGTCTACTCAGTCTACTTAATACACATGTAGAGAAAAATTACTGGATGAATGCACATGTTAATATTCTGCTATAATATAAACTTCAAATGGAAGATACGTATTATATACGCCATACCCTCTCTCTCACAGCTACTGCTTCTACTCCATTCCTCTGTATCTCTTGTGTCAATTATAACTATGTCAAGAGTTACATAAGCAAGCACATATGCTAAAATCTGGTTTATGATAAAAACATGAGAGAAGCAATTTCTTTTTTATCTTGAGATCTTTTTAGCGTTTGCACATTAGAAGTAGCAGTAGATAGAATATGTAAAAGTATCTCCCATTTGTATTTTTTATAATACAAATTATAATGATTTTTATATCTAACCAAGGCCACCCATCATCCCAAATCACTAAATTTTTTAAAAAATATTATTTGGCTGCACCTCTGCTAAGTTTACAAATTACTAACTCAGTGGAAGAGTTTATAGAGGTGATGAGACACAGGAGTTGAAAATGTACTTCATAAACTAGAAGACATATCTGAGGAAATTAGCCAGAATGTAGCATAGAAATAAAGGGATAAAAAACATGATACAGTAAGATTTATGAAGATATATGATACATTAGTATATATAATAGATATAATCCAATATGACTGATATATATTAATAGTAGTACCACCAGAGAAATTTATAGGATAAGAAAATGTCCAGAAAATAGGAATCTTCACATTAAAGATACATAAAATGAGTGAATAAAGTGGAATAAATAAATAACAAATCCAAAGCTAGACACACCAAAGTGAAACTGCAGAATATCCAAGACAAGTAGAAAAATAAGACCTAAGACAATGGAATGACATTTTTGACAAAATGAGAGAGGAAAAAAAACTCAGACCATCTAAATACCTGAAATGAGAATCTGAAGTACCCTTAAACACCTTCTGGGTCAAGATGTTTAGGAAATTATACCGAGTTTCTAAATGAGTTCTACGGAGAAAGCAAATTTCATGTGCAGATGAATAGTAAGATAGCTATTAACATAAATTAACAGAAATACCCAAAATTCCACTGGTCCCTACACTTCTACATAGTTTTCCCAAGTTATTAAGATTCTCTGATATTATGACCAAGTAGATCTCTGGAGTTTAAAAATACATAGGAGAGAGGGGTTAGAGAAGATAAATAAGTGGCACAAAAACCTCAAGTCCTCACAGAAAGATAAATGTTAAAGATTAATAGTTTAATTAACCTAATAAGATGCCATGAACAAAGAATTTACAAAAGTCTACTTTTGACAGTTTTTCATAAAAAAAGTAACACAACATCAATAAGGTATTCCTGCTATGAAAGTGATCGGTTGAACAAAATGACATACTCTTTATGCTTTTTCCTTTTGACCTCATTCGATGAGTCATCAGAATCTTCACTGCTGGAGGAATCCTACAAAGAAGAAAAAAAACAAAGCTAATGTTATTAATGATTAGAATTTGACCATGGTATCAAATTTTTGCTTGTCATACTATTTGACATTCACTTTGCTAATAATGCTAATAATGCTAACTATAAAGCTTTGTTCCCATGTTCCCAACATTAGCACATAATTAGTAACATCTCTATTACAAATTTGTAACACAGTCATTGACATTAGGTAAATATCACAATGTCAGCATTTTGTATAACACCTTAAAATCTACCATCTCTAGAAACCATTATTGTTGCCTAGTATGGCCTCAAAAAGGAATTGTAATTATTGGCATGTTCAAATTTTGATTTAATATTTTTCTGCCCCATTAGACAGTTTTTGATATAGTTCTTTCTGAATGTTTCTGCACAAACACACATGCTGGTGTACTTACGTGTGCACAGGAACTATACTGTTTAAAGCTATGGCCTATTCTTTTAAAAAGATGTTGCGACTTGCTATTCATCTGCTATACTGATTTAATAGACATGTTTGTCTATGTATATTTTCATAGTATTCACATTTAGTTTATTTCTAGTTTTGCTGTGATGAGCAAATGTACATGTGTCTGTTGCTTATTTTGGATTAATCCCTAAAAGTAGAATTATTGCATAACAACGTATTGATATTTCAAGGCTCCTGATACATATACTTAAACGTAGTTATTTCCTCATCCTTTCAAAACACTTACTGTTTGTAATAATTTCATAAATACCTACACCCAGTTAAATGGGCATTATGTCAACTTTCGGTGAAAACTCACCTCCTCTGATCCACTATTAGATGAAGCCTGCTGCTGCTGCTGCTGCTGCTGCTGCTGCTTCTTGAGCATTGCAGATCTCTGAACGGCCAGAATACTAGGGCTAGATTTCCAAAACTGCAACAGAAATATAACCAGTGAAGGATGAAATCTTGAAAAAACTGAAAAAAAGTTAATTTACTGGACAGCATTATCACTGCCTCCAAATACTAAGTTGCTTTTCTGTACTCCCATTATGTGTAATACAATATTATGACAATTAAATAAAATTCTGAGCTTTAGTTGTATATAAAAAATTTACGGTGTGCTGAGTTTCATAAACAATATTAATATATTCTTTGGTGTTAAATATTATTTTCAAAAAACAAAGTCACAATATGTGACACCAGTGCTACTTGAAAACTGGTTGCCTGGTTTTTTAACTGATGTGAGGTGAAGATGAAGAGCTTGAGTCAGAATACAAATCAACTATGTCACTAAGTATAGTTTCAGTTCAACTGACTTTTATTATTTATTTATTTATTAGACAGTAAGATTTTCTCCATGGCAGAAGCTGTGTGTTGATGTACACTCTGGCCCAAAGATCTTACCATGACTGGTACTCGAAGTAACACTACTGTATTCCATTATGAGGTACAGATAGGTTTTAGTAAATCTTGTAGTAGCTTTTTTTGAACAGAATGACCCTTAGCCTACTCTACCAAGTATCTTCAAGGAAGCAAGTTCTATTAGATTCTCCTGCTATTAGCAATAAAGCACCCCTTTGAAGATCTGTAGAGATCAGACACTCAAGATTAACAGAAAGACCTCACAAAGCCTTTAATTTTTATCCATGAGACAATGAATATTTATGAAACTCAGTTTCTGCCTTAGAAAGTGTTTATTTTGTACTTGCTTGACTGCTTCTCCTCAAAGCCAATCAAGTCCAGATATTTAACTACAAGTTTGAGAAAGTAAATTTTAATGTTTAAAATTAATGTCTTCTAAAAGCTAGATTAAGAATGCTATAAACCAATGTTATAAATTTTCCCAAAGTAGTACTACAAGAAATCTTTCAGGATACTTTATTACCTCAGCTCCATCAACTTTCGGTGGTTTTGCTTGGACTTTGTTTTCTCGGGAAGTGTCTGATTCAGACTCTGACTGACTGCCCGATTCAGATCCAGATTCAGAGTCACTGCTACCTGACTGGCTACTGCTTCCATCACTACTGCTTCCAGAACTTGAACCAGATCCTGAGCCTGAAGCTGACCCAGAATCATCATCCGACTGGCTACAATTTGAAAATAAACAGATTTCAAACAAAATTTATTAGGAATTTAATTTTCCTTAAAAGTCAGCAGAAATCCCCAAATCATTAATTGTTTATTTCATATTTCAACATTCCATAACCAAACAAATAGAAAAAAAGAATTAATGTTAATCTATAACAAATGACTTACTTGATAGATTTAGTACAGTTTTGGCGAAAACATAAGCAATCAGATCACAATCTTCCTCCAAGATAATAAGCAAAATCTATCAAACACAGAATCCTGGGCTAGAAACTTGGGAAAACAAGAAATTGAAGCCATAGTCGCTATCCTTAAAAGGTCATTTAACTATAGGAAATCTAATGTAGAAATTGTGTGAAGAAAAGGATTAATGTGCTGAAAATTCTCACAGTCATGTAGAAAAAAATTTGTAGTTTTTTACTTGTTTTTAAATTATATCTGTTCTACCATTCTGGGGAAAAGTGATTTATTAAAATTAAGCTCTGAAAAGGGGCGCCTGGGTGGCTCAGTTGGTTAAGCGTCTGCCTTTAGCTCAGGTCATGATCCCGGGGCCCTAGGGATTGAGCCCACACAATTTAATAGCTTCGCCGAGAGTATCACTGAATCGATCACGGTTCCACAGTAATAAATCTGAAATAATAGTAAATTCTCACAATCCTTCCTAACCTCTGTATACCACATGTGGAAGCAATTATCAGTTCATTGAGAAACCACCTTTTTTCCCATTACTAATTTTCAGTCCAAAGTAGCCTAGAAATGGTCTGGCCTAAACAGGTGATTATGTAAATTACTATTATTCCCAAGGTCATTTGTTCCCATAGTGTTTACATCTGAATTGTTGAAAACTGGGGCATTAAATTCTTTATACACACGTTTGACTCAGCTTTTGATGTAATTTCACTTAGCTTTATGACAAACAACAGGTAATGTAGTTTATGTATACACAGCTAAACTCAAGCTTCATGTCCTCTGCTGTAATTTTCAGAAATACCACCAGATGGAGGTATTACTCTAAGGAAATAGACTGCACTATTAAAAGTAATTCATTTATAAAATTTCTCTTTTTCTAGAGCAAGTTTAGTATTCACAAGGAAACACAGACATAAAAGTTTGAAAGAAGACTTCTGATTCCAGAAGTTAGATATAAATTAAAATGCAAACATGTATATTTTTAAAGTCGAGTAGAATAAAATATTCACAGAAACAGCAAAAATTTGCCTTTTAAAGTATATGATATCAAGATCACTTTTTAAAAAGATTTATTTATTTATTTTAGAGAGAGAGAGAAAGAGCACGTGCATGCAAGTGACAGGAGGAACCGAGGAAAAGGGAAAGAAAATCTTTAAGCAGACTCCCTGCTGAGTGCGGAGCTCAACTGGGGACTCAATCTCTTGCCCCTGAGATCATGACCTGAGCCAAAATCAAGAGTCAGAAGCCAAATGAACCACCCAGGCACCCCTCAATCACTTTTGCCGCAATTTTTAACCGTTGATCACATGGTTCAGAGATCCAAAAACAGCACAGTGCCTCATAATAAACAAACCCCACTTAACCATATTTCACTTTGGTCCCTTCAGAGAAATTTCAGCAAGAATACTAAGAGAAGATATTTTTCCTGACATACAATTTTATTTCTCCTTTAATCCACTTTCATTTACTCAATAAACTTCACTGACAGTATTGTGTATTAGGCACTGGGCAAGACCGAGAGCATACAAAATCCTTACCATTAAAAAACCTCTAACCTGGTATGGAGAGACAGTCATGTCAATTAATAAATGTCGTTCTGCGCTATTTTTAAGATAATTGATCTAGGTGTATGGGGAGCACTGCATATACAACCAAGAAAAAAGTGCGATTGATAGAAAAGGAAAATTGCTTGTAAGCTTCTTGAGGATATCATTTATTTTTTTCCAGAGTAACTAGCGACAGAACTTTACACAGGTGAGGATGCTTAATAGATACTCGAAAAATAGGTAGATAAGAACGACTGAATTTGGGGGGCTATCATACGCCTGTATTCTTGATTATGTCTTGATTAGTCATTCCAGATGAATGGCTAGTCAAAATTCTTTGTTAATAAATCAAAACTCTAAGTGAAAGGAGGAATCTTTCCCTTCATATTCTTTAGGTTGTAGTAGTTCTGGCTGGAGATTAAAGCAAACAGCCTCAATCTAGATTACTGTAATGACACAGACCTATTACAGAATGTCTTTACCTTACGTATTGGAAGTATAAAGTATTTAGTTGTTCTTAGTAAGATTAAGAATATACAAAGATTAAGTAAGAAATATTTTACATACTACCACAGAACAATCTCCACAATATAGTTAAGTAAAAAAACAAAAAAAAAACAAGATACAAAACAATGTTTATAGTATGCCTCTTTTATATAAGGGAAAAATATACATACTTGCCTATATTTTTAAAATAGCAATAATGGCAGCATAAACCAACAATTAATTTTAAAAATGGTTATCTACAGAAGGAGGAATAGAGGGAAGAGTAGAGGGAACAAGGTTTGAAATGAGTCCTCAGATTCAAAACATGTAAATGTTTAACATAATTTTTTTAAAAAAGAAAATCCTAAAAATTTTAGGAACACAGGTTCAGGAAAAAAAATCTATATTCAGACTTAAAATTTTGAGCTAAAATTGTTGAAAAACCTCTCCCTATTAATTGTTTCAGCCCACTGCTGTAAATGCTCTTTCCAGAATAAAAATCTGGGCATGGTCTAACTTTCTTTTACAAGTCTTCAGTGTTTCTATAACAAAGTGCAAACACCTATGAGGGCTTTCAGGAATTCGTCTTTGCCAGCCTATTTCCAGCCAGTTTCCCACTTAAATCCTTAGTTCTAGCAATGGCAAACTACTTAGAATTCTGAGAGCCAGTTTCTCTTTCCACTTCCTGCTTTTGCTTAAGTACTTCTCTTTTTTTCCCCTACTATGTAATTCCTACTTGAGCCTCATCTCAGAGGCATTTCTCCAAAACTCTCTCCTAACTCCATTATTCTCAATCCAACCTTAAATTAGGTATCCTTCCTCAGCACTTCCAAAACATTATTACATACCACTATCTTGGCTGTGAGTACACTATGTAATGAACACTGTAGTATTGTTTTCCTTGTTTTTGGTATCCTACCCTTTCATATTCTACTATATGTTTCTAGAGTGTTGGGATTTTTACTTGTTGTCCTTTGTATATTGAACACCAAATGAAGAGCATCTGTGATGGGTGGATGGATGTACATATAAACAAACAAATCAAAGATATATATGGCTTCAAATTCTTGTATAAAATTCACAAATATAATCTGCCTACAAGAAATACTGCTGAGCTCCAACTAACATTTTATTTATTTAGGTAACAACCAATACCAATGATCTTCTATACAACATAAAGTCACTTAAGAGATTACTTAAGAGTTACCCTTATTAATTAAATTAAATCCCACTAGCACATTAACAATAAAGAAACACTGTATTTTTTTCCTTACCTTTCTCAATTTACAAAACAAAACCCACCATAAGTTTACGGGTACTTTGATAAAATTGTTTTCTGAGGGTAAATTAAATAGGAATAGAACATTTAAAAAAAAAATAGCAATTCAAATTAAAGTCTCTTTTCAGGCTTGTTTTTATATTCAACTTCAAATATAAACAAAAGAGCAATATAATGAATTACCATATATCTAAAAACCTGCCTTACAATTATCAACTCTTACCAATCTTGTTTCAAATAATCCAGCTTTCCAAACACAATCTCAGGCATTTTAAAATTTTATCCATAAATAGTTAAGTATTACAAATAAAAAGAAACCAATACTATTTTTAAATACCACAATACCAGTATCATATCTTTAAAATACCACTTACTCCTGAATTTTAATATGAAATCATTTTAATATGAAATTAAACATTAAGTCACATGATTTCGTTTCCTGGACTGACTGAATAGGAATCCAAATAAGGTTCACATACTGCCCTTGAATTATATTTTTTTTGTCTCTTTCATTTTTTTAATTTAAATTCCAGTTACTTAACATACAACGCGATATTAGTTTCAGGTGTACAATATAGTGATTCAACACTTCCAAACATCACAAGGTACTCATCACAACAAGTACACTCCTTAATCCCCATCACCTATTTAACCGATCCCCACACCCAACCCACTTCTGGTAACCATCAGTTTGTTCTCTATGTTAAAAGTCTGTTTCTTGGTTTGCCTTTTATCCTTTGCTCATTTATTTTCTTAAATTCCACATATGAGTGAAATCATATGGTATTTGTTTTTCTCTAAGTCTCCATTAATTTGACAGTTCCCTTTTCCTCTTTGTTTTCTCTTGCAATTTATTTTGTGGAAGAAATTAGGTAGTTTTTTCTGCTTTTTCAGATTTCACTTACTGTAACCCTGTGGTATTAACATATTTTTCTAGCCCTTACAGTTCTTGTAAATTCTTAGATCAAGAGACTCAGATTAAAATTCAGCTTTTCTTAGGGTGAGTATTTTTTCAGTTGTTGTGGACTTCTATCAGAAGAAACTTAAGTTTGGTTGTCTCTTTTTGAGTGAGGTTAAGGTTAAGCTATGGCATTTTCAGCCTTATCTGTTCACTGCAGTTCCCTACAAGCTCTCTATCTAATGTTTTTAGCAGCCATTGATCATGATGGCTTTATCACCTATTTATTTAGAGGCAGTAAAATGGTGCTGTATCTTGCTTTATTTACCCATTATATAACTTCTTCATTAATAGGTGGAATACTTTTATAATGAGAAACTTTCATATTTGTTAACCTTAAGGTACAGTTCATACATGAAAGCCATTTTCATTTCTTTGCCTTGTCAGTTTTGAAAGTTAAATGCATCCTTTCAAAGTCAGCCAATAATTTTTATGTCTCATGAACTCATGGATTTGAATTATTTGATGAATTTTAATCCACTGTATCATTGTTGATGTTCAAATTGTCCCATCTTTAGCCAACAGGAAACCCTTCTGAGT